TAAAGGTAAAACCCATTCTTTTCTTACTGGCCCCCACTAAGAAAACAAAATTCTTATCAACAAACTTCCGTGGCTTTGCAAACTGGAATAGTCATTTGTTTGTCACTTCGATTATATATTTTTGAGACCATGGGCAACAGTTAAATTTGAAATTAATTGTTTCTTTGTCTATATTTGACATTTGTTTTGTGACATTATGTGGATTCAAGTGTAAATTTGAGTGCACAGTAAAAATAAATTTTGTCATAATCGTGTTTTTAAATTTTATCATGCAATAATCAATTATCCACGTAATCAACAAAAAGTTCTATAAATATTGTAAGGGACTGTGAATGTTTATCAACTAAATTACTTTTAGGACCTTGTAATGGATATATCAGTTTAAAACAAATAATGTTTTATGACAATATGAACATCAAACTAGCATAATTTATTGACAAATGAGGTAAAATTGTTCAGTCAATGCTTTAAACTTACCTGCCAGGATTCCTGAACTTTACCTGTCAGAATTCCTGAACTTGCCGCAGCCATTCATATTTGCTGATTTTATTTGTTTAGATAATTTTCTGGTAAAGGAAGGAATTAAGACCATGATATAGGACATTCTGAGGCTCTAGGACTATATAAGACACTTTAAGGAGGTTTATACTTCATTAAATGATTTATTCACTTACTTTGTTTATCCCTGGCATCAAAAATGGCCGATAAGAGTTGTCTACCTTGATTCAAAACTTTAAAATGAATTTATTTTTCATAAACATGTACAAATACTTATCATTTTTAACATGCAAAAACATAGAATGTAATCCTTATTTACCTAAGACCAAAGTTACTTTCCAAATATTTAGCTGGCATTGCTGTATTTCATAATAATGTTGATGACCAGTATGACCTCTAAGTTTGTCAGGAGGGAAAATTCAAATTCCTCGCACTTGGAATCTTTTATATCAATAGTTCATTTTTCTAAGCTATAAACCATGATTGTTTTTGGCACAGATATTAAGTGCATCAAGTTAGGCATCTAATTTAAGTGTTTATTGCATATTTTGTTATTTGTTAACTTTGTTAATTTACATTTTCTAAATTATTCCTGTCAATATGGCTGCCATTTTAAGCAATCCCTGTCTTTCCTGCCAGACTGCCAGGCCAAATGGAATGTTATGATTGGTCAATTGTGACAGTCCTGGCTATTTCAGAGTCTATATAAGTAGCCATGACAGGCTGTGTTCAGTTTGCATTTTGGCTTTAAATCCTGACAGTCGCGAAAACTAGTGACAAGAGCATTTTGTAATATTTTCATGGAAACTTTTATTGTTGAATCTAGCAAATTTAGTGCTCTTCAGAGTTGAATAAAGAAATTGTAGAATAAACCTTTTATCAATAAAAGTTGTTATTTGAACAGTCTTTGACTTAGCTTACAATTGGTGTCAGAATTAGAGGATTAAAAAACTGTTTACATTTTTCCTGGAATTGACCTTGAACTTGAAGACTTATATAAAATACCAAAAAGGACTTACAACTACCCAAAAGTTAATCACCATTAAGAAATTACAAAAGAAAGAATATAATAATAATGTCAGACTCTGGAAGTGAAATTGTTCTTACAAATACAGAAGAAAATAATATTAGGTCTTCCTCATGTGATGAAGAAAATCGAAATATACAATTAACAGGCCAAATGAGTGACTATGACTCAGAAGCAAGGGGTGACAGAAATAATAGTAGAAGCCCATCACAAGCTCAAAGGCAGAGACATCTTGAAATGCCTAATAATAGAAGTTATTCATTCTCTCCTATACATCATAGAAATGAGAACAATTCAATAACTATGAAGCCAGACCTTTAGACAGGTGAAAGTGATTGGGAGATATTTGAGACTCAGTTTGATGTATGTGCAAAGTTAGGGAACTGGAATCAACGCACAAAGGCTCTAGTTTTGGCAGGCTCTCTTAGAGGGAAGGCACTTGAATTTTATAGTCACCTACCCACTGAAATGAAGGAACACTATCATACACTTATATCAAGGCTTGAACAGAGGTTTGGTGGTATAAATCAAAGGTCAAAATGGTTGTCACTATTAGAGGCACGGGTTAGAATCCCAGGTGAAAGTGCATCTCAGTTTGCTGCTGATGCTAACCAGCAGATGATAAGGAAAGCATATCCTGATCTTGACCCTTGCGCCCAGGAGCTGATGACACTTCACACAATTTACAGAGGCTTAGGTTAAGACCTGAAGTATAAATGTATTGTGGAAAACTGCAAATCAGTTTGGGCATGCAGTTGGGGATAATCGAAACATTTGAGGGTATCTTTGGTTCTGGTCATAAAGAAATAAATCAGTAATGTCCTAAAGTAGAAAACTTTCCCAACTTGGATAAGAAAGCTTAAAACACAAGTGGGAAGTGAAAACATAATTTTATGGACTACTAAAATTGTTAAACTTTATTATTGGTTATATTTGAAGTTAACTGTTGATTTGTTATAAGTTATGACTGTTAAAAAAAAGCACCAGAAGCTCCAGACATTAATATTAAAGAATAGTGATTAATTATGTTTTGATACAATGGTTCAATAGGAATAATACAAAGTAGAGCATCAGAAAGACATGAACAGTAATTCATTCAGCTTAAATACAAAAACAATGGTAATTAAAACTAATTATACATAAACTATGGTTCTATGAAATTGAAATAGGATAAAGTAAAGCAAAGATGGGAATTAGCTGTAATACATAATTACTGTATACATGTACAATGGTTCAATGGGATTGATACTGAAATGACAAGATTAATGTGAAATTTTGAAGTGAATCACAGAGCTCTGTGTGGTGTTGTTGAAATTCATAGTTGGAAATGGCCTGATCAACCATGTTTCACTATGTGGATTATGGTTATTTGCGAACCTTTTTTTGCAATTATACATTGCATCGCTTTAACCATTGGAATTCAAAACCATTGACAGGCAATGGTTAGGAGTGAATTTCCTTTGGTTTAAGTGGTTGTTAAGTTTATCTTTCTCTTACGTTTTTTGTTAACTGTTATACTTGAAATGAATATTTTAGTATTATCAAGGAAATGGTTATCTTTCAATTTTTGCTGTAATTTGCTCTGTTGAACAATACACACTTTATCAAACATTTAATAATAAGGATATCTTTTGGAATCAAAGTAAAATTTTTTAAAGAAAACAAAAGTAACATTTTGATTAAAATGCTTATATAGAATTAACTTAGACAATTGTGTGACAGAGACATTGGAAAATAAGCAGATAAATCTTTTTTAAGGAGAGTTCAGTTACCCGACAAAATCTGACAAACTACTACTTTTCTTTAACTTTTAACAAAAGATAAAAATCTAGTTCCAAACAAAACTGAAAAAAAATTTTCTACACTTTAAAGCCTGCCAGGAACTTCAATTTAATAAGGAAATGATGCTGACAACAACAATGTTTCTACTAGTGGTGTCCTAATGTCAAAAAATGTGACAGAGAGAATCAACCATACCGAAGAAGAAAATAAGAAAAACAGACAGAAAACATTTAAAAAGTGTTTTATTTCTTTTAAGAGGGGGAGAGTGTAAGGGACTGTGAATGTTTATCAACTAAATTACTTTTAGGACCTTGTAATGGATATATCAGTTTAAAACAAATAATGTTTTTATGACAATATGAACATCAAACTAGCATAATTTTATTGACAAATGAGGTAAAATTTGTTCAGTCAATGCTTTAAACTTACCTGCCAGGATTCCTGAACTTTACCTGTCAGAATTCCTGAACTTGCCGCAGCCATTCATATTTGCTGATTTTATTTGTTTAGATAATTTTCTGGTAAAGGAAGGAATTAAGACCATGATATAGGACATTCTGAGGCTCTAGGACTATATAAGACACTTTAAGGAGGTTTATACTTCATTAAATGATTTATTCACTTACTTTGTTTATCCTGGCATCAAAATGGCCGATAAGAGTTGTCTACCTTGATTCAAAACTTTAAATGCATTTATTTTCATAAACACGTACAAATACTTATCATTTTACATGCAAAAACATAGAATGTAATCCTTATTTACCTAAGACCAAAGTTACTTTCCAAATATTTAGCTGGCATTGCTGTATTTCATAATAATGTTGATGACCAGTATGACCTCTAAGTTTGTCAGGAGGGAAAATTCAAATTCCTGGCACTTGGAATCTTTTTATATCAATAGTTCATTTTTCTAAGCTATAACCATGATTGTTTTTGGCACAGATATTAAGTGCATCAAGTTAGGCATCTAATTTAAGTGTTTATTGCATATTTTGTTATTTGTTAACTTTGTTAATTTACATTTTCTAAATTATTCCTGTCAATATGGCTGCCATTTTAAGCAATCCCTGTCTTTCCTGCCAGACTGCCAGGCCAAATGAAATGTTATGATTGGTCAATTGTGACAGTCCTGGCTATTTCAGAGTCTATATAAGTAGCCATGACAGGCTGTGTTCAGTTTGCATTTTGGCTTTAAATCCTGACAGTCGCGAAAACTAGTGACAAGAGCATTTTGTAATATTTTCATGGAAACTTTTATTGTTGAATCTAGCAAATTTAGTGCTCTTCAGAGTTGAATAAAGAAATTGTAGAATAAACCTTTTATCAATAAAAGTTGTTATTTGAACAGTCTTTGACTTAGCTTACAATATCTTTTGAAATGTATCGGTAACATTCAGTTCTTAAAAAGTGTGGGGTAGTCTTTTTATAAGTTAGGTAGTTTTGTTTTTACTTTCACTTTCAATCATTGGTCAATTACAATTTTTATGGTCTTTCTCTTGAAATATTTTACTAATTCAAATCAACTTGACACGGAAAAAATGAGCCTTATGTCACTTTTACTAATATTGTTTTTTCATCATTGCATCCAAATAATTATCTTCATTGCTGCACGGCAATATTATGTGACTTAATTGATTAATTTCACGATTGTTTCAAGCCATCTTGTTACATGAACAGACGTTGAAATTTATGTCAAGGCAAAAACAAATCTTATACTAATAAAACGTGGTATTAAACATAGTTTATAATGAAAATCGTAACGGAAACTCCTCTATATTTTTGTATCATCTAAGTTTTAAGTTAATAAACACTTACCTTTAGACGCCATCGAAACATCTTTTGGAACTAAAAGAATAACGAGAAGAATGAATAAAGATAATATACTTAGTATATCATAATGAATAGAACATGTGGATCCTGAATAAGTTTAGACTTCTCAAAAGTATAAGAAAGAGGTAAATCAAAAACTTAATTTATAGCTTAAATACGATTAAAATTGGTTAAAATGTTCATTAAGATTTGGAGAAATAGTGAGTCCTCGGAAGCATTAACCATAACAAAATTACATGAAAACTCGTTTTGACTGCGTCCGTATTTCACTTCTTAGGACAGAGTATCGGCTGTGGCATAATTTTTAATATCACTATCAAATTCATAATCAACAGTTGTTTTTCACACACGTCTTTTTGTGCTTTTGCAAATGAGCTTCCAATATTATAACTTATTTCAATTGTTTCCCCTTGTTGCATAACATCTTTAAACACAAATGTTAGTTCCATAATTTCTTATTCTGTGTAATTAGGGTCACATAAATGATAAAAAGATACGTTCGTTAGTGAATCCACTGACTATTTCGCAGCGGCTCCGCATTAGTTTCAAATTACAACCACAGTAAAGACAAAGCTAAATTTACTATTCAATCTAGATATAATATAATATAAATATAATGGCATGCACAGCATATTAAGTATTTAATATCTATAACTTTCTAATATAATGGTTCTTCTTACCACATGTTGGAGCATCTCCTGACCAGTTCCCATTGGCTTCACATTCTCTTACAAGTTTGCCCGAGTCTAGTTTGAAATCTTTAAAGCAGAAATAAACGGCTTCTTCTCCCTCCGTGGTTTTCCGGAACACTAACGTGCCATTAACCGGCTGTTCCGGCGTTCCGCAATCTGAATAAGACAGGATAAGAAATTCAACTATTAAATGTTGGGTTAATCATTCATAAAATATAATATATCAAGCCTTCATCAAGCAATTATAATCTTGTCAAGAATGAATCAGTATAAAAGTCCGTACATGAATAGATAAAAGTTACCTACTGTCAAACAAATATTAACGCCCAGCACTGAATAAAGCTTACCCTGTTTTCTTATATAAACACCAGTCAAATATCATTAAATATGAAGACACCTATCTTTTGATACGTTACACTCTTTTTAAAATTATTTTCCACTGTGTCAGGTTCCACTTTTTCGAATAAATCGCTTTGCTTTTATTTAAATTTTGAAGCTACAAGTATATAATATTAACATTGCAGATTCAGTTTAATTGAGTCTAGTCATGAGTGAAAATGAAAATGTGCAACATCTCTCAAACCACCTAGCACCGGCTAAGCGTTATCTAATCTTCAACACTTATGTGCTAGAAATATTGATCGCAAAGGACCAGAATAATGTTACATAACAACAGTGGAGTACTAGGCAGTTTTAAATTTGAACGTAATTCAATTTTCTTCAGATAAATCATAAGATAGAAACTTGACAGGATGTCGCTTAAAAGAACCGCATTGAAAGAAGGGGGGGCATAATGATGATTGTATTCATATTGACTAATATCGAATGAGGAATTGGTTGAAAGGCCGTCATCCGCCTATCTGAACAGACTCAAATGATGTTGTTTGACTGCCTATATAAATAAACCAGACAAGAACACACATACCAATTACACACATCGGTTCAGCTGAAGACCATTTGCTGTCCGTCTGACAAATTGCAGTAGCTTCACCCATTAGGATATATCCTTCATCACAAGTGAATTGAGCACGTGAGTCTTCAAATGTGTCATTATAACTAACAGACCCGTGCATTGGACTTTCAGGCGTCCTGCAAGCTAAAATTTTATTTTTGATTAGATATTTAAACACGATTTCGACAATTCAAGAACTATCATTTTAGTCACAATGTTATATATAATAAATGTTCAATGCTTGGTTGGTGACACATATATTGATACTGTCGTCATCTACGAACTGTTCATTTTAAAAACCAAAGCACAATACGTCCATTTAATCTTTAATTTGGCGACGTAACAGTCCGGCATTATTTCTTAATTTATTCTAATATTGTCACGTACAAACATTTTGGTGAAAATTGGAAAGATTATAAATTGTAGTAAGAAAACAATGTGCGCACAATCGAAGACAAATACGACGTTTTTATTAAATTTATACACAAAGAAACACAAACGCGGCGAATCAAAGCATTGTAATGACAATTTCTCTGAAATTCCACTTATACTAATTACATCACTCAGATTAGATAGAATTGGAATTAAAAAGCAATCAAAAATTCATATTTCAGAAAAACTATCATCCGTTGATACAAGTTATTTCAAACAGAGTGAAGAAATCTAAACAAAAATAAATACAATATATTTTGTACGATGTACGTTGTTAAGAACTAAACACACAAAACCTTTTCTGCATACAGGTATAGTTCCATTCCACTCGCCATCTTCATCACAAGTCACCATTTCATCTCCATCAGTAAGGTTATAACCATCGTTACAGGTAAACTCTGCCACTGAGCCGTACACTGTTCCATTGAGAAACACTTCTCCATTTGTCGGATTATATAAAGTTCTACAGACTAAAATAAATATGGAACAAATAATAAGTAAATACTTTAATGATACCGAGAGTATGGACAATCTAAAGTAATAAAGTGACTACTACTAGATCACTTATTGTTGGTACCAATATCATACAACATCTTTACTCATCTAGTGGTCAAAAAATGTCCCTAATTGTTGAAAAAGTTGAAGTAAATGAGTGAAAACTTCAATAAATGTTTACTTATAAAAAGGAAATTAATGAATACTATAAGGCTTTTTCACTTATGGGAATGTTATGAAGAAACATTTAAATGAATTTTCACTCTCGGAAAAGTAAATGAGTGAATACTACAATCATTTTTCACTCATGGAAAAAAGAGTGAATATACTTAAAAGAAATATCACTTATGGAAAAGTAAATGAATAAAAACTGCAATGATTCTTTTTATGCTCCCGGGCACATCCGCCCGTCCGTCAATCCATATGAGGTTACCCTAGAACGGCATGTTGGATTTTTCTTAGGTTCTACTTGCACCAACGGCTTCTAAGTTTAAAAACTTACTATTCAGTACAAACTAAATGATCTGGGCAAGTTACACAACTCTGGCTTGAATTAATAAGTTATTGTCCTTTTCAATACTTAGAAATGAATAATGGTTAACCTTAAACGGCAAGTTTGAAATATCTTAAGTTCTATCAATACTAATGGCTTTATAATTTCCACACTTACTTATCAATACAAGGTACATGATATCGCCAAGTTATATAACTGTGTCATCCATATTTACTAGTTATTTCCCTATGAAAATAGGGCATTGTCTGGTTAACCTATTCGGCAAGTTTGATTTATCTCAAATTTCTCCTAATTGCTTTATTTCTTTAATGATATCTGTCATATTTAGTATGTACTTGATAGAAAGATAACTAACATGTTATTCTTCCTTTGGAAAGAGTAAGGGATCAGTTTGGTCAAGGTCACCGGTGCTCAAAATATATTTTTACACTTTTGCCCATACAGCCTTTATTTGATGACAGATGTATTTCATATTTGGTAGGAAGATAACTTGCATGAAGTTGAATATTTTTCAAGCAATGACTTGGCAACTTATGTTTTTTTTGCAATTACAAAATGCTATGACTTTGTCAAGCTATATAACTTGTGTTTACAATTTTTTGGCAATTTTTTTTGTTCATAACTGAGTGAATGGGTTAACATTTTCTGAAATATTGCGACTGACACGAATCTGAGCCGGGGCATTTGTGTTTAACCAATAAGTTCTAGTTTATTTATGGAAAAGTAGATGAGTGAAAACTACAAACAGTGAACACTAATGGTAAAGGAAATGAGTGAATAGTTTGTTGTATTTTCACTAACTTAAATTATATGAGTGAATAGTCTTTTCTCTATTTAGATTTTTCCTGTAGAATTATGTGCTAAATATATAGAGTCACAGTACCTGTGCTCGACTCGCCCAGTGCTCGACCAATACTTCTATTTGTACGGAAACAAATCGGGAACACAACACTAAACGCTTAGACCATTTGAATATTACACTAATTATATCACTTACCTATGTTTGCAGAGTAATTTTAGTAGAAAAAAATATGGAAATAAGCAATCTCAAACACCCCAGTATATGATAATTCCAGAACTCTCATAAACACTTTATTTGTCAATGTATAGTATTTCCTTCTTATCATATTTGCTTTCATATTTACATCTATGGACACTAAAACAAAATTGTTTCAAAATAGTTTTGAAATAGAATTTTTCAACATAAAAAGTCATATCTATTTTTATAAAATAAAAGTTCTGATAGAGAAAAAAAAACACCTGGTCGAGCACTGGATTTGTTGCCTGAAAAATATAGTGGTTTTATCCTGATCTGTGTAATTAAAAAGCTTAAGCTTATTGTGAGTTTGAAAGGGCCAGCCATGTAACCGAAATAAATTTCCCAGCAAACTTTTTGTTCTGAAAGAGTTTTTATGTGATTTTATGAAAAACTAGTTGAGCACTGGTACGGTGACTCCTATATTGACATTACTCACATACTTTTGCAAATAAGGCTTGTGGCCTTTAAAGAGTTGATGTAACTTTGAGCCAGGTATAAATTATTAAACGTTATCAATAAATTTTGAATTTTTTTATTGTTGCAAGGAGAAGAATTCTCTGATCACGTTAGTTTAAATTATACTCATACCCGAACCCACATTTAATACAGTCACATTGTTCTATGAATATTTAACAACCTACAATAAAAACGGTTTTAATCAAACTAAAATTTATTACATACATATCCGTACAAATAGAGATGCATCAATGAATACATGCAGTATTTCATTGTGCATGTAACATGGGATTTTTAACTTAAAAAAATATTTCAATACCTATGTCACAATACGGTTCTTCTCCTGTCCAAACACCATCGCTTCCACAACGTCTTACTCGATCGCCTCCAACCCTTGTCAACCCATCATCACACTCGTATTCAGCAATAAGACCTTCAGATGTAGATCTGACTGCAACGCTTCCGTCTTCGATAGAAAATAGAGGTGGACAATCTGTAACGAAGATGGAATGCAACATAAACAGGGGAATGGCAGCATCGCCTACAAAACCTCTAGGAAATTCATAAAAGGAATTAATATAATGATAACAACGTTTATAAGGGTGGCGTTTATATCAACAAACATGTTAGCAGAAAAAATAAATTGACATTAAATATAGTTACAGAGAATGTTTCATTCAAAATAAAAAAGAATAGTGGTTTTGTTAAATTTTTCTACAAGAATGCCTCACAGATTATAGTATTCATGGTCCATAACCATTAGACGAATCATCATATGAGAATAGCAGGTTAGGGGTCCATCGAAAACACAAAATAAATACATGCACTTACAAATGTATGAATAGTTGTTATATTTCAGTTTATTCTCACTTATATTGGATAAAATCTGCTAGACCATAAAAGTGCAATGCTTGTTATAAATTGGTGTGAAGACCCACTTCTTCGCCGAATTCGGAGAGTGGCGAGGCATTGACTCTTACTTGGACAAAAGAATATATAAGCCTTCATTTATAATAGGAAGCTATGTCACTGATGTAAGTCTTTAAAATATACCGGCATTTTTTATTGTCAAAGAAGAATTACTGTACAAAAGGACAGAATCATTTACATATTTGTCGTTTAAAATGGGTTAAGCATAGATAATGATAAAAAGCAAGGAAATATAAATGAATGATGGTTGGAGATTTCGTAGCATTAATTTGGAGTGAAAATGCAAACAGGATGACGGACATCCTATAGACTAAGACACCCTTTTGTAAAGTGTTGTACAAGAGGTCAACTGAAATACCTTTTTCGCAAAATTCGCCGTTTAAGTGGTATCCATTTTCACAAGGTACACATATGTTGTCGCATAGATTGTTCATATCTACCAAGCAGCCGCCATTGACTGTTGAATTACAATCATGTGAACTGTCACATGGGCTTCCAAACGTGCCATCTGCAATAACAAAATAAATCTCAGTTTGCGAATATGATATTATATGCAGAAGAGGTAGTAATGGAAAAGAATTAGGCATCAGTATTTTTGATACACGTGGTTCATGTTCTCGTCGTCTTACTATATACATCCAAGTCAATTTTCTTCAAGATGCGACAGTGAGAATGCAGAAACAATAAAATGCCGACGAGTGTGTCTGTGTCTTTTGTGCTCTTTGCCAATGCTATGAGACGCCTGACAAATTTTTATCATAAGCAGATGTCTGTCTAAGACCGCATTGGTGATGTCCTTACGCCAGGGACAACACTATAAGAAGGTTCTAACGTCAATAAGCGACAATGAAAACCATACTCTTGCGTTTATTACTCTTGGGTGTTGCACTTTTTCATTATCCCTAGTGCATAGACTCAAATAAGTCGGGTATTTTAGTTGTGATTAATACTGCCAAGGAAATACTCTTATTCCAGATTTCTAGGAACCATTGTCACATGTTTCTTAGAAACGTTTTAAAAAGCATTTCTGTATACATTTAGTATAACATGTATGTTTATGAAATACCTGGAGGAATTCCATCTGCGGGGTTTGTAGCAGTACCATATAGATCAATACCCCACTCGACTAGGTGCAAGTCTGTAAGTAAACACCACAACAATGCAATGTAGGGCACATTATGATCATAAACCAATAGTATCTTCCATTTTTTGAAAAGGCAAACATGCATTTATGACATTGAAATCATAGAAAATCTTAACTCGCCAAGAGAATATTGAATATAAAAGAATTTTTCATAAAAATATCAAAGTAGTATTTTTGAATCCTTACAAAGTACGTAATCACTATTATCAGCCATGCTAATAACAAAATGGCTACAGTAGCAAAAGACGGTTTAGGTTATTGGCAATTGAGTTACTGTTTGATTTTCATACCGGACACCACAAATAAAAAGCTTTTGTGAAATAAAAAACAAAAGCATTTCTCCTTGGGCATAATGGACCTTTAAATATAATAAATATTTGAAACGATTCGAAAATAACCGTGACACAAAACAGTTTAAAAGAAGAAATTATGTTGTTATTCGTGACAAAAAAATGGATGCGGATATAATATTTATATAAAAAAGGGATTTCCATTCAGATGTCTTAATCGGTATGCAGCTTCATTTGCATCTTTGGATCAGATGAGCAGCTTCTTAGTGATTTTATTTCTTTTCGGTCTTAACGTTAAGATATCAAAACTAAAAAACTGAACAGAATAAATATCCTCATGATTTTTCTGTCAACTGCTTCAGTGTTTTTATCCTATAAACTGGATCTATGAGCAACCGATCGCAATATTAGACATTGTACATTACATGCGTTTATTCAGCGCAAAATTATAGCTCAGAAATTAAGATTATTTTCCTTTAAAGTTATGGTCAACTTGATATCGTAATCATTTCTGAGAAACATCTTTAAACCAAAACAATTAACATAACAGATTGATTTTTTACAACACTGATTTTCTGTTGATAAAGTGCATGTCTGATTAATTAAGCTTTAGCAGTCACCATCAATCAGCTTTATCAGAAACCCTATCAATATATATTGAAATAAAATGAAGAGAATAGAATAATTTTCTTCTTACTAGATTAAAAATATTAAACTGACAAACTTTTTTGGATTTTAAGCTCTCTCTCTCTCTCTCTCTCTCTCTCTCTCTCTCTCTCTCTCTCTCTCTCTCTCTCTCTCTTTCTCTCTCTTACATTTAGATAAAAATATTGGTGACTTTTTCTTAAAGATATGATCCTTGGCATATTACTGCGCGCGGCTTAAACCCGAGAGATTCTTGACAGGTCTTGGTTTTATTTGAAATTTAAAGAAAGAAGCGCATATTGAAATTGGCAGAGCCTCGCCCTTTTTTTGTTAACCTTGCCTGATAAATTTTGTATTTTCAGACACTATGGTATTCAATTTTTTCATACATCTTTAATGAGATAAAGGACTAAACTTCCTTTGAAATATTTATGATAGGCCTACAAAATTAAGATAAGAATGAAAATATTTACCTATGCCCTCATTGACAGGATAAATTATTAGGGTCCATTCCCCATTCGGATCTTCACCCCAGTTATGAACAGACATGAACATTGTTGATGTATACTCCGTTACGTTATCATACTCACGTCTGGAAAGAAGCAAACTTTCAGTTTCCATTGGAGACATTAGGTAAATTTCCACATCACCTCGATAAGAGGTGTTGTAGTTTATAAACACCTCAAGATGTTCAAGATATTTAATGTAACAATTTGAGATTATGGATTTCTCATTGAATTCCTTTGCGTTTGTCTCATACCTGGAAATATAAACAAAAAAAACGAGATTTTAAGAGACATTCAAGACTGTATGCCACTGTAATGTTTGTTTCATATTCTATCTTGATATGAGGCTATTATATAATACTGAATACTGTGCAAAGCCAAATTGAAGGATGCGCTAGCCGTGACTGTTATAGGTGTGAAAAAATAAAGCATATCTCAAAATCTGAAAATAAAACACGTGGCGGACTTTCTTGATAATATCATGTCATGTTACATATATGCTACGTTTTGTTGTATACACTAATCATGTAATATTGTTTGCCAGGCTGCATACAAACAAACCTGACAGAGGCTAGCATCCGAAAGTCATATTTGTGTGTACTCTATAACAGAATAAATTTGCAAAACAATCCTTTCTTGAAATGCTTAACTTAATGTTTAGAACTTCAGATTCATATTCCAAAGCTGGAATCGGGCTTCGGATGTGGTACTAGTAGCATCTACAATGCATCCGTAGAAGTTTAAGCAACATTTATTTGTTAACTCGCTGAGAGATCGGAAGTGTGAGGGTACAGGATGGTGATCAGCAGATAAAGAACTAACATATTTACCTATCAATGAAGATATCGCCGGTGCTACAGGATATTCTAGGTGGTGAAGATGACCAATTTGGTGCGTTTTCAACCATTGCTTTCGCATCAATTAAGCCAAACCCAAAGTAAAGGCTAACTGAAAATATTGAAGTAAAAACTGACAAGACGCAAAAACGGCGAGGTTCAAAAAACGGTTTCCAGGACAAAAGAAAGAGATGAAACATTAGCAATATATCAGGGACTTGAGAAGAGCTGACAGACGTGTATACCGGAGCAATCTTTGGAAGCTGAGTTAAGTATTGTTAAACCATAAAGATATCAATAATTAAATCGTGTTTCAAATATGTTATGTGCTCAAAAATAAACCTTATTTCATCTAAAATCCAAATTTCTCATTATTTACTAGTTATAAATATGTACAAATTAAGACTATTCACAATTATCATTAAAATTTTGACAAGTTCTGTATCTGTATTTTTCTACTTAACATATTTCCTTTTTCATTCAATCGCATTAAATAAAACAAAAAAAAAGAAACGTTTGAATGAAACAAACCTCACTTCGATATGATAATGCATAATTAATACTCGCATTTTTTGTCTTTGAACGTATCATTTATCAGTAGGATAGTATGTCAATTTTACTATGTTAATAACGGATTTAATTTTTTATAACTTCCCAATTTTAATCACTTCTGTTTCAGATTACTCCGTTTACGGTTAATTACAATATTTTATTTGATTGTTTCATTTAATGCCTTTTCACAATAGAATTTCAATTATATAGGGGGGTAGTTTCCTAACCATCATTTCTGAATTACACCAGTACTAGACTACCTTCGTCCGTGCTAAACTACCAAAGCATCTCCCGGGGATAAGTTATCTGAATTTTAATATAACATAAATTATACTTAATCACCTTTCTTCCCGGCTCCATTTGTATAATAGAAATAATCTTTTTCTTGTTGGTCTAGTGCTGAATTATTCGACAGTTCTACAAGCATATGTTGCACATCCCTCCAGGTCAGATCAGGGCTTGACGAAAAATATATTTAAATTTCCATAAGAATTTCTCTCACATCTACATTTGCGTTTGTTAGTTTATACGAACTAATTTTAGTTCGATTGTGTTGGCAGCTTTTAGCTTATTGAAACGTTCTCGAATCTGTTCATCAAACCAATCTTAACAATGAGTGTAAAGTTTCGTTCTGACGGAAATAACCTACACGGGCAGTAATCCTTAGATTACTATACCCTTGCATAACCCACTCGGCCATGAAACCAAAATATTCTAATGTTGGAAAAAATGAAACAAAGCCAAAGCTGTTGCATGCTAACTGATGATTAAAAATATTTTCAAATATTCAAACTGATAAAGAATTTTAAGAAGTCCTTTACAGTAAGAATATTCAATCAACGTAAAAATATTCATGTTTCATTCATCAAGGCAAAGGCGACGTTAACAAAACACACACCTACACAATCCAGCCAAAACAACAGGACACCCAGAGGGCACCGAAACAAAGCCAGAAGATGACAAAACGAAGGAATGGAACACGTTATATGTGAAATGATAAATAGGAACTATAAGGGCCGAATCAGTTATTAAAGATACAATGTCTGTGAGGCATCTTATACCCGTCACCAAGGGAAGTAATTATTATATTTGTTAAAAATCTTCATACCATCGAAATATGTGATGACAGTATCATACTAACCAAATTCGTTTAATCTTTTATTCAGTTCAAAATGAAACTAGTGGTTTAAACACTTTTTAAATGTTCATAAAATTATTATATATGTAAGGTGCGTTAAACAAACTCCTTGCTAAATATTTGTACCAAGCTTGTAGGAACTTCATTGCCCGTTGAAAAGATCCCATTGTCAAAATACTTAAAACTTTCCCTGTATCTTTACTTCAGTAGGACATTCAAAATGTGGCGCATTTACTCCGTAAGCAGTTACTCAAAATGTAACGCGGTAACCCAAAATGTACCGCAGTTACTCAAAGAAATGTAATGTTATTACTCGGAAGCAACAACTTTGTATACATGCCTAAAAAGTATTAGATACATGTATATACATTGTAATGTACATCATATTGGTTTGTTTGACTTAACATAATGTGATAAATGCAGTACATACTTAGCTTCAAGAGTCAAAGCAATTATACCAGACACCTGTGGCGTTGCTGCAGATGTTCCATCAAAATCATCCACACAGGTTGCGTTGGGGCCAGTTGTTGTCTGAAAGAAGAAAATTATCTGTTTTATAAGGGACATTCTTTTTTAATTTGTTTATACTAAATGATTAGACATTTCTTTTGTGTGATTTTGATAAAATTTTGTTATTGACTGCAAACAATGTTAATTGAATGATTATTTTCACACCGTATTTCGACCCTCGATAATTAAGTTTATACACAACAAACGTGCTTTCATAATTTTAAAACTAACTGGTTACTTTGATGTAAAAACTTTAGGTTAGGTCGCTTGAATTTTGTGTCATTATGTCATTCTTGGTCGTTGCAATGCTTGATACAAAGTGATCTTAACTTATTTCGAATATTTGATAAATGTACACATTTAGATACTCTCCTGCGCATCGGTCGAATGTTTCACTATTGTTCACTTGTGTGAAGTAACGGGAGTGTATTAACTCAGGTGCAAAGGGAGCGTGAAATGTAATCATAATTATACTTACAATGTTGAGTAAACCATCATCACCGCTAAATGCTGCTACAAGTGTGGATGTACAAGGTTCACTGTACCAAGTGCGAGCTCCATTTTCGTTGACTGCAGCGACGGAAATCGTATACATGCTTCCACAATACGGGTTGGCATTGCAACTATCGGCTAGTCCACCATTTCCAGATGCAAATGTATAAATTGTACCCTTACCACCGCGTCCCTATAAATTGTTATTGCATATTATAATGTTGAATTACAAAATAAGCATGAAACATGCATAAGATACATGCAGAAAATTCGTTTACTATCCTATATAACACGGCTGTGTAAGTAAAATGTTTAGCACAAGTACGCAAAACACGTTATTTGGCATTTATTTGTTCTCAGTAACAATCATAGATTAAAATTAATAACTAGTTGGCAATCTGTGTAAGCAGAGGTCAAACGTAACACAAACACCCCTTATGATGGTAATTATGCTGAGGAGTAGGAAGTTAGTATTGATGACTATGCGATGATGGAAGAGGGATGTATGAAACGAAAGGATTGATTAACGTATCAAGATTGCAGGGTAGTAACAAGTGGAGATATCGCTAAAACTCTTGGAGCAACCAGCGAACGCTGTATTATAGGGTACAAATTAGTTCCAATGACTTAAAACATAATTTTTTCCACTAACTGTTTTAATCAGAATTGCATTTTAAAAAACACTGGTCGTTTTGTACGCAAATCTCTATCGTTATTTTAAAAAATAGATAAACGTTAATGCTAGAGCGCGAGAAAAATACTACATTCTTCTTAGTCAAACATAATTATAGACGGTCCTCACCAATTTGATTCTGCTCTAAAGCTATGTCATTTTTTTCACCAACTATTGAAGGAAATGAAATCAATTGCCGTTATCACTGCAGAGCTGCACATACATAAACGATTTGCTTATTTAACAAACATCTTAATTTTAGTAATATACCTCTTTTATTGTTAGCTCAAATGCGTCCTGTAAAATTGGATCAAGAGTTTCCATGCGAATGCCATCGTCTATAAGACCCCAACTGTTACTATAGATGTCAATATATTCATAATTGTGTGTCAGTGACATAGCTTCTATAGACAGTGTCGAGCTGATTTCATTAAGCGATCGAAAGCCTAGAATAGACAGTAATAACCTTGAAACCTTTATGAAAGTAGCTACTAAAGCCATGACGTCAAAGCCCTGAAATATTTGACTTCAATCCATTTTTCCCTCGAAAAAAGAAACGGTACACGAAATTTAGTGTTTAAATTTTATTACAATGTATTTTATCAACATACTAGGAATTACAATGCATTTAGTCAACATAGGAATTTATTGGCAAAATAATGCTTAATCTCATGATCTTATAGCAAATATTGTTACCTGATATTTTTTTAAAGTGCAATAAAATAAAAACTAAACGGTAAAAGTATCTAATATTTTACAAAATCAACCAATATACTTTTGAAAAAAAAACTGGCACCTATTTAAGTACATTTTAGGGATTTTTTAATAGGCTCTGTAAAACGAAATTTGTCAAACAAGTGTTAAAAATGAGTGGAGTATGGTACATTTTTTATATATATTCATAAATTGTTAGTAGAAACAATCATTTTGCTTAGGTGGATTGTTGATTGAATGTTATATTTTCTTTCTTAACAAGAATAAATGTAAGAATGTTTTAATTACTATGATCTTGTAGATAATTTAGAGGTTCCTTTTCCCTAAAACATGTCCTTCTGTCACCCAAGATTAAATTCAGAGAAGCGGCCATAACCCGATTTCAGTACGGTAAAGTTTGTTTAAATTTTACACACAGGAGTTATCTGACCTATGTAGTCAATTTTTCAGTTCCTTATAGTTCCAGTTTTGATGGTCATACCTTTAATAAAACTAAAACAATTCGGAGGTAATACAAGTTCATAAAAAAGGCTTTGACAAATTGTATGCATTGGCCGCCTGTAATGAAATATTGCTTGCAAATATCATTACAGTCTAGTCATATAACCCGTCAAAGCTCTACAATACTATAAATATGTAAATTATTGATTATAATACCTATCAGTGTGCATTTGTATGCTGTCCCAATTATACAATTTGTATTTTGTACAGCGCCCACGAGACCCGCACATTTGGTGCCGTGACTGAAGTAAAAATGTTGCATCATGGAGCAATTGAGAAACATATATAGTTGTCCAGCGTCAACAAATTCCTTTTAAAAAAACTCTTTAAATACCTGAAGTGTAACAAAATTTGTGAAAAATGTCAAATGAACGACTTTGGTAGCATTTTGCCAACAATACATTTATTTCAAAACTTAACTGATAACAATGGAAATTAACAATAATTTTTTTAAGTACAATATACATATTGAAAGTGTTTTATTATTTTGCTCACAGAATGTGTTATAGGACAAATATTTTTAAACCAGACAGTTTTGATATTAGATCACAACTATACACAAATTATCAAAACATCATCTCCATACCCTTCGCCTTCGATCTTGTGTGATGCATCATCGACTTCATTTAAGAAATCATAACTTAAGGAAAAGTTCTGAAATTTAGAAAAAAAAAGGATTTCAGTTGTCCATTAACTCGGCGAGTATTGTTCATTTGGAATAAATATGTCGATGCTGAGTTTCAAATTGCGCAAACTCTTTTGTCATGTGCATTATATCTTTTAATAGATACATAGTTAAATTCAAGATACATTACTGAAATGTAAAAATAAAATCATTTTAGTTTCCAATTTTCTTATCATTGTCCTATGCAACTATTATCTGCTCATGTGTGGAAGATGAAGCTGAGCTTGTATTTATCGTTTGTTTAATTCTTACAGCTGATTTGTTTTCTTTGGTTTAAACATATTTTATTTAGAACATTTTGCACAAACAAAATGACATATAATAGAGGATTACACAATACAATGCTGGAAAAGGATCAGATCCGAAAGCATAAAATGCTTATAAAGTCCTTTTCCTTACATAGGATTAATTACTATAAATAAGACGGGATTTGTTTTCTTTATTTCGTAACAAAACTTTAAATACTTACGTAGTTATTAATCAAATCTGGGTGATTACCATCAACCCCGTTATCATTTATGGCAACGACAATTCCTTTTCCGGTATAACCCATTTCCCAAGCTTTGTAAACGTTCATATTCGGTCTATGTGTTGGTTGCTATCATAAAAAATGCAAGTAAATTCTGTCAAAGTAAAATTTATTTGACTATAAAGATTTAATAATAAAGATCAAATTTACAGGAAAAAACGCACATTACATGATCATGGCAGTACAAATGAAGAAAGTAACATTCCTTTGAAAAAAGCATGTTAGAAACATTATTACATGTATGTAGAAAAGAACGATGAGTCTGAGAGTATTAAAGGGGTATTCCGAAAAGTATAAACTTATACGCATTGCCAATACAATAAAATTGAAGGATGCGAACGTTTGTTTGTTTGTTTGTTTGTTTTGGGTTTTACGTCACATCGACACAGTATAGGTCATATCGCGACGTTCCAGCTTTACTGGTGGAGGAAGACCTCAGGTGCCCTTCCGTGCATTATTTCAGGCACGAACGGGCACCTGACGTTCCGTAAGCTAGCTGGATAGCTTCCTCACACGAAAGAATCTAAAGTCCCTGTCGGGATTCGAACCCACAGAGGTGAGGGGCAAGTGGTTTGAAGTCAACGACCAGGATGCGAATGTAACATTATAAATGAGCATCAGCAAAGATCACAAATAAGATAGCTGGTTTACAAAAAGGCAATCTAGCTTACCATATTCCATTGGTTTGGCCATTCCTTGTTATTAATTGTCAGTTGGTTTTTAGAACGTCTCCGGTACTTCTCTTGTTCTATGTATTTTACCTGCATCAAAATCATAATAAATGCATTGTGATAACAATTATTGTTATTGAGTATTTTAACACTACTTAGTGTTTCTTTCCCCGTATTTCATATAAGTTTGGTTATACATATCGGTTCCTTTGGGATAATTGAGTGATATCACATAAGGCTGTGATAGCGGACGTGATAGATGCCGTGTTTTCCTTTTTTTCTCTTATGAACAAACTATAAAGTAAAACCAGTCTGTGATTTGTTGTTCTGTTGGTAATTGTTTTGTTTTTTCTTTATTGCTAACGTAGGATCCTCCTTTCCAAAAGTTACAAGTAGTCCTATGAGAAGTAAGTCCGCCTTTTCTGCAAATCGTTACAATGTGAATATATGGATGCAGCTGGTGGTCTCGGGTATCATCTTATATTCATTCCTTCATTTTATTGTAGATTACTTCATGTACTTATGCTATAAAAAAAATCTTGGGATTCTTGAAGTTGGTAACAAGCAATAATTAACACAGTGAAACAAATGATAAAGAAATATTGGAATAACTTATACAAGAAAGATGGCATACATTACTGTCCATTCTTTTGGCTTTACTCAGACTTATTTGAAGATCTGGAACATCCATTGGGACAAGAGAGTTGATATAAGACCGTGGAATTCTGAAAATGTACCACTCTCCAAATGCCTATAAAATTAAAATAAAACGTTTCCTGTAGAAAATGAACATTTTTTTCTTCATAATCATCGAATTATAGATTAGATGTGTTGTTTTACTACACAAAATATCACACATGCATCAGATTTGAAGTTTGAGGACCAGGGCTGCTAAGGAGCATAGCTCTTTTTTATTGTATATAAATAATTCAAGTAAGTCTCAAAGATGTCTGATCCCTTTTTCAGAACTTAAAGAGGTCCAAGGTTAAACCGCTTGACTTTCGTGAATGGGTTGTACTGTTTCAATATAAAGTTATAAGTGCATTTGAATACTTGTTTCCTTCTGAAAGGTTAATATGAATTAATGTAGGCTCATTTATAAAAATCTAACTATGGGGAGATTGGACTCATTCGAGACATTTATATAATTGCAGATTACAAATATCACAAATTGTTAATTAAATTTAGCATGCCTTTTTGTGAAATTCTAAACCTAGTCCCTTTCCAAAATCTTCCACTTCGTCCTGAGTTCCTTCATACTTAATTATAACTGTTCTACTTCTTGGTTTGTCTACTTTATCCAAGCTGTCATGTATTTCTGTAAATGATTGAAGTAAGTTCTTATACTGATATATTTGATTTGATGATCTTTGTTTTGACTTATTATAGTGTAGATCTATAGGTATAAGAAGTACATATATATATATTTATTTAATGTTAAAGGTTCTAACACTCATTTGTATTGGTGATTTTTCTATTGATGGTCTTTAACAAAATATGTTAGCCGTTTTGTATTACTGGTGTGCATATTGATAAATTCTCACCGCAAAAAATGCACAGAAGAGTTTATGCATTTTCTCTTAAAGGGGCATTATGCCTGAGAATCGAATAAATTGTAAATTCTTTAGATACGATAAACGTTCACTCAGGCATAAGGTTTAAGATCAATTTAGTTTCTTAGCTGAAGTTATTAGCGATAAAGATGAAATGATTTGTCATGAATGTAACAAAATGTAAACAAAAAGTATTTTGACTTCCATACAAAATATCATACTAACAGCCAAACAGCAATAGAAAAAGATTGTTCTGGTAATTTGTCAATGAGTAACTTTTGGAAAATCATAGAAATACACAAAAAATAGAAATCTTTTAAGAAATAAAATTTATATTTTACAATGAGCATTTTGCCTGAAAAGCACATTTTTTTTACTTTCTAAAGAACGGCAAACAGGAATTTTATAAGGTAACATCTAGTAAAAAGTCAAGATTGTGTAACTTGTCAAATTGGTATGAAAACAAATGCATAAGAAATATGATCCATGAGTAAACCATATAGCCATTATTTGAATAATCATCAGACCGATACACAGTTATTTATAAAATAATTAATGTTTTAAATTTGAATATCTAAAGCTATAAAATTACCTATTGCAAAAACAGCCATAGGGAGTAGAATGTACAATACAACACAGCTCGTCAGCGCCATATTCATTAAAGTTATCACACGGAAATCTGCAATAACAAGAAATATGATTCATCAAACGCTATCTTTATTTTATCATTGAAATGAAACGGAATACATTACGTATTTAGTATTTACATTAACTGATCAAGGTATGCGTTTGTAAGAAAGCATGGCTCTTTTTGTACGCCAGCATATATACAGTGTTAAACAAGAGTAGCAAACGTGTTGAACCATTAATTCTAACAAAGTCGACAAATGGTTCATGACTATCGTATGGTGTACGTCGTCGGTCATCACTTCTGTGTGTCTCTTAACAGCACGATAATAAATGAATTATTATAAAAGTCTTCCTTTTTAGAACTCACATGATGACATTCTTCATTTTTCGTCATTGACAATTTACTCATTCATCCGTGTCTTTCACATTTTCTGTGTAAGCACCTTACATGGAACTCTCTTCCGTGTTTTACAAAATTGCAATGACTATTGTACGTTATTTTATATTTACGTAATCTTGTCCTCTTTTTTCAGAATACGGGTAAACTAAATTATCTTGGGTATTATGTCTGTTTGATATTTAAGCTGAAATATCTAAAATATTAACATACAAGGTGTAATTAAACGAAACTTGAAAACAAAATTTCGTCCCCTTAGTGCAATAACGGTAAGGTCCTTTAAAATTTAACAGGAGTTAACCAGTTATTGCATTAAGTTGACGAATGGATTTTCTGAAACACATACTAAGTTGTCTGCACCAAAAGGGAAAATCAAATAATATGATGCACAGCCAAAGCATGAATGAATATCTTTCATAAGAAAAATCCATCACCGCAGCAGTTCTTATACTCCAATTTAGGATATATATGCAGCTATTTGTAACTAGATTCAATGATGTAAACAAGTTAATTATTTATACGCCTGCAGTAGAATTTATGTTAAGGTCAGTAATTGAAGTTACACAACTTGTGAAATATGTATACAGTATAAAAAAGTAAGGATCGAAGGGCCATATCTAATGCAGGAAAAGGGGAATTCTAACTTCCTTTGATCTTGCATAGTTAAGTGCTATGAAAATATTATGTACACGAGGTCAAAAAAAATGCACGGTGTGTATATTATGAACAAAACTTCGTAGAACACAAAATATCCCTCTTCTTACATTATGTTAGTGACCTTTGACCTACTGATCTTAAAACAATATAGGGATTATTTGCGAATGATGATCAACTTCCGTACCAACGTTGATCATAGGACAACACATACTGAAGCTATGTTTTCTCTGAAAATCGGAACATAATGACAAAATATATAAATGTAACGTATTTGTACTGTACTTCGAACTGCAATATTAATATTAAAGTCTATTTAAACGCTATATTTGATATTCAATTAGTCATCATTTTTGTCAGGTTCACAATTAGCGAATGGAAGATATATGTCTCAGCTAATGTATAAACATTATGCAAATAAATGAATATAATCTTAATAATTTAAAAAGTCAACCAAAAAAATTTAGTTTTTATAATATACATATAGTTCGTACGTCTACAAACTGCAATTCAGTTCGATGTAAACGCTTCATTTAATATTTTTACTTCCATTTCCTCTCGCTCACAGTCGTCCGAATAAATCATTTTGAAATTCGTATTGTTCTCTGTAAGAGAAAGGAACATGTCTGAACTTGTATACAGTGTAGAAATTATGCAAATAATTTGATATTAAATAATTTGATTTTAAATCATCATTATCATTTTTTTAAATAGTAGCATAAATTCTAATTTAAAAGCTTTCGTATTTTTCAATGCGAGCGAAAGGAAGATCTCAGAACTCGTGTATAGAAATTATGCAAATAAATGGCGATTAGTCAATATTGTGATTATTTTTGATAAAAGGTGTAATTAGTTTCTAATATTATTCGTCTGCAAACTGCAATTTTATTGTAAAATACTATTAAAATGCTATAATATATATTTTATAAAGTCACTTTCGCTCACATTCGTCAAAAAAATTACTTTCGTATTTAAGACAAACCCCGATGCGTGTGCAAAAACCACTTGGTGTAAATAACGCATTTTCATTGCTTAAGCGAGAACTTTAGTCACGTGTCTAAATAAAAGCATTTCTTTTTCATTTTAAATTATTTCATCACGTACTTGTTTTAATTAATTATTATAAAATAATTATATAGTAATACTGATATTTGTTCATGTTTAAAATAAATCAAATGACAATTCTCGCGAGACTCATTCACGCGAGATTAGGCCAAAACAAAATGATCTTGTGGTTCCAGTTACCTGACCGATCCTGTATTTCCGCACCTAACCGAGAACATTTTATTGCAAAAATGGAGTATCCTATAGCGTATATATCTGACATACAGTTAAATTTTAATAAAATTGAATTTAATGAAAAAATAAACTATTTTTCCGACTTACCTACCCTATTATTTTCACAGGATCATTTTGTTTTGGCCTTATGACGTCAAACACACTCATATTTTTTTTTTATCTTATGTATACCATATCACATGCGACCTTAAGGCCGGCGTGTAATGAAATACTTTTCTTATTTTTTTAATTTTATGGCTTTTATTAAATATTAACGTTGTAAATTAATTAAAGTCATAAAATATGTCTTTAGAACAAATTCGTTATTGCCGTTTCTAGATGGCGGCATATACACAATTACACAATTAACAATAGATGACCATATATTTTCTGATAAAGAAAATAACTAATTCTAATAAAAGAAATCAGCCGTGTATCATTTATATATATATATATATATATATATATATATATATATATATATATATATATATATATATATATATATATATATATATATATATATATATATATATATATATATATATATATATATATATATATATATATATTAACTCCCACAATTATCTTATGACAATCGAAGTTACAAACATGACGCTGCTAGTGTTTTTATTAATTTAACTACTGAATGAAATATTAGCATTAACATTACATTATTATACTGCATGGTTAAGCAAATACGTATATTTAAAAAAAAAGTAAGATTTATACGCATTTAAAAATCGTATTAAAATTATTTAGAGATAGCATCATCTTTGTCAAGCTTGTGATATCAAAAGATGGTTTGACAGGTTTTTCAATTTAATTATATAGGGATGTAGTGTGCGCTGTTTAATTATTACTTTGTACTTGTATATCATTCAATTTGCTAAATTCTTGCATAAACATGTTTTTTCAAGTACAGCAATAGAGTTAAAACTTCTGCGCATTAGAAAATACAAGTATAACTTGTAATTAGTTTTGGAAGCGTTAACAAAATTGAGAAGTTTTGTGTAAAACTTTTAATTTTTATGACTCAGATGAATGAATATTTTGAATTGGTTTTCTTTGATCGACCGTAAGATTACGGTAATAACATTTCTCAATTTTGTGAAAACATTTCATAAGATTAGTTTTATACCCTTAAATTTTATACCCTTTCAATCAACAATAAACATGTCATGAAAAAAGAAGAAAACGAGATATAATTACTAATATCATTTGCTAAAGTAAAAGTCACCAGCATATTTTTGAAAACATTTGAAATAATGTACATGTATGCCACAATTAAAATGTATTTGGTTATATATCCAAATTGTATAGAACTTTCGCCTTTACTTTGCACGGTGCCTATACCACTTGACATTTTTGTATCTGCCGTGGGCAAGAAGACGGTCAATATTTTATTTTCCTCCATAACTTTTTTAATATTTCATTATTTTAACCGAATACAGTATTGAACTCTCAGTGAGTAACTCATACGTAGACTGATTTAAGGAAGTGAACTTAGTATATTTTACCGAAAGTGAAACCGCTTGTTAAAACAATAAGATATTTACTCGGGTTTTTTGTTGTTTTTTTTTTCTTACCAGGAAGCAATCTTTGTATGCCTTCCTCAATAAAATGAGCATGCTCTCAACTTAATCCCATAAAAGAAATGAAATATTTTAAAAGTTATGGCAGAAGATGAAACATGAACCATTGGTTTGCTGCCCAGAGCAGATTACGTCACGCGGTATAGACATCGTGACTTAACAGTAACATGTATTTCCCTTAAAGTTGATTAAAACATTGTAACATTTTCTGTAAGAGATTGTTCACAGATGATCAATTCAACTCTTTTGCACATATATCAATATCATGTTAGTCTAGGAATTGTAAGCTTGGCTAAACATTATATTGTAGATAAAAACAACATTGCACTGTCACAGCTTTTAAGATCTTTGTCAAAAGTTCTGATTCTAGAAGTCCTATAGTACATTTTGTATATGATCGAGATTAAGTTTCTAAATGTCAAATGTGTTAATATATTTTTTCATTATTTAATATATCTTAGAATAGAAACATTGACAGAAAATTAACGATAATCATAATATGCTGCTGATGCTGCTTTTGTTGCTGTTGATGTTGTATAAAACCGTATAAATGTAAATGTGTCAATCTAAATCATTGTAATTGAAAGGGAAACCTTTGCCCGGTTGGGAACAGAAAAGTATTAATTGTTAGGTTATAAAATGCAGTTTGAAAATAACAGTCTGTAGGATCGAAATAAAGTCAGGTACATTTTAGAACTGCGCGAATTTCTATAACATACATGATTTACATGGTGATTTTCTATTATTTAACGTTGAATTCCCATACATCTCGTACATGTTCTTTATTTCTAATTCATTTTCTAATAATTACGTTGGATTGATTAATGATACGTAAATATTGATCTATGCGTTTTATTACGAATGACTAACACTGTTGATGATATTATCGTGCCCCACTGCAAATAGCTTCTATAATTTTGCATACTATTATGCAGCCAAATAAAGCGTGAACAAACTTTTGCTTGCAAATATTCCATAAATATTAACTCTCAGAATTAATTCATGCCCATATTTCACTAACAAGTGATTGTGCACCACTCAAAAGTTAAACATTTTTATCCAAAAGGATGGATATATAAATCAAAACAATGTGTCAACATAATCGAACGGCTTTGATACATAATTGGATGATAAAGGATGAAAGAAAAAACATTTTTAGGAACGATTCACTTTTATACATTTTGAACAGTTTGACACGTGAAGTCTGATATTTCCAATAAATAACAACACTTTTCCATCAATTTATGCATACTTTCTCATAACTTGACTGAAATTATTCTTCGTTTATGTAACAGAAAATTTCTTTAACACTCGGCCCATGCACTGCGCACTGCAAAATACTAACACATTGCAATACGCAAATGGGTGTATAGTTTTCTTGCATTTTTGTAACCATAAAGTTCTTTAACTTTGGCATTAATCTATATAATTAAAGCTTGTTAGTAGTTACCTGTTTCAAAATGCTTACCTTTTAAAAAATATTTATTCCACATCTGCACATAATGTCTATTGATGTTAAGATTGTTTATGGATTTGACATTTGGGGGTAAACTTTTCAACGAAGGCAGTCAACTGCGAACGCGACACGCTATATACCCTGATATACCGTAGGAAACATTATATATTTATAGACTGAAATGTTGTTATTAAACGTTATCAATTTACATGCGCCTTGTAAAATACTAAAATTGTAAACTTAACATTTTGTTATACAAAAGGAAATGTCATTGTGCAGATAATTAAAGTGAAAACTTAATTAAGTTATCATTATATCAGAATTGCAATACAAGACTACTTTATATGATATGGACATGAGTGTAAGATATGTGAGTGAAGAGTAAAGGTCAACAAAGGAATGCATTCAATGCAAGCAAGTTCCATGCAATACGACGGCACAATATGATCTCGCCAAGGTCACCCATATGGATACTAAACATGAGGGAGGCAAGCCACGGGGATAGAACGAACACTTTACGAACAAGAGAGCGAATATCTATATACCAACAAGGAAGAAATTAAAAGTGTACTTAATAGGGATGAAAAAGATGAGAGGACAAAAAAGAAAGTACTGCGAAATTGTCACTAAAAATGAACAACAACAAATAACCATGAAACAGTTAACAAGACATATAGGAAGGAAAACGGAGAAGAGCGCTTGACTGATAATGAATAAATGGCAAAATGTACTACAAATATTTTAAAAACTAAACAAGCTATTTGTTTTTTATTCTTTGACTAATGAGCTGGGGTATTTTACTAAATCAATGGCAGTTCTAAGTTTTTAAATCAACATGAAAGACAAGTTATGCATAATCAGAATGTTTCATGAAAAGAAAACTAAAATCATTATACGCAATGCGATGAATGCATTTAGTTGTGGAAACATATTTGTGCATTTATCTTTATCATCTTCAGAAAGAAAATGTGTCTATTGAATTTCAAAAGCCAGTGATAATACACTCGTCTTCATCAAATACATCTTTTAGAACATGTAGAATGCCTAAAGTTTTCATATACACAGACAGTGTGGTCGTGTACCGAGTAAATTTATGCTTGGACTGATAATATCTTAAGTTCCAGATTGATGCCAATACTGAAAAGGGAAATGCAACATACGTTTAGTTCTTATTCAATGTCTTCCTTCATTGAATTGAGAGAATATGAGAAGGGGCTCGCTTTTTTTTCAAAAATGGCTACTTGGCACTGAGATTTTGTCTTCTTTCATCAGGTCACCAAACAAAACATATTGACCAAAAACGTTGCATGTTCGTTGTTCTTCCTGTTTTCTTCGAAATACAATATGTATTGGTCGGTGTCTACGCTCTCACTTGTACCAGCAGAATACAACGATTTCTTACCTTTATTTACGACAATATAAGATTGTAAGTCGTCACTTCTAAGATCGTACGTGGCCGAATAATTAAGGTTAACTTCAACCTATTTGTCCCTTCCGCCAGGGACTTTGAACTATTTCATGCTAGTTTCTGAAACGTCGGTGGTTTTACTCAAAGTGAAGGTTCGTGCCTGATCTAATGCACCGATGAGCACCTGAGGTCTTCCTCCACCAGTAAAGCTGGACTCGCCACATGCGTTTTTGCGAGACAAAACCTAATCAAAAAGTATATATTTCTTAGATACATGAGAAAGCATACTGTTTTTAGTATACTAATGTTGATTCTTTGATCCTTTAACATTTAACCATGAAGTATCAGTATCTACAAAAGATTTGTCAAAGGTTTAATCGTATCCATGTTCTAGCAACTTGACAGTGGCACTTCGGTCACTGAATCTAAATCACAGCCGTATTCACATCATTTCGCTAAAGTTTGATTCTTACATTCCTGTCTTGCCAGTGACTATATTTGAAACTAGAACTCCGCGAGTCGGATGTGTCGCCTTGTGAACAATGTAGTTTAGGGGAAATGGCCAGGACAAAAATGAAATATGAAAAATAACAAAGGGCAATAACTAAAAAAATAATACGTGCAGAGCAGCATTTCTGTACACTGCACTTCTTATCAATAAGATCTATCATTCTATGACGTTTCAAGTCCATAGCTTTCATACTTGAGAAGAAATGACCAGGACAAAAATAAAGTAAGAAAATCAACAAAGGGCAATTACTCAAAAATAAGAAATGCAGAGTATCAGTTCTTATGCACTGCACTTCTTTTTAATGAGATCTATCATCCTATGAAGTTTCAAGTCCATAGCTTTTATACTTAAGGAGAAATGGCCCGTACAAAATTAAAAAATGAAAATAAACAAAGGGTAATAACTCAAAAAATAAGAAATGCAGAGTACCAGTTCTTGTGCACTGCACTTCTTCTTAATGAGACCTATCATCCTATGAAGTTTCAAGTCCATAACTTTTATACTTTCGGAGAAATGGCCAGGACAAAAATTAAGTATGAAAATTAACAAAGGGCCATAACTCAAAAATTAAGAAATGCAAAGTACCGATTCTTGTGCACTGCACTTCTTAATAATAATATCTATCATCCTATGAAGTTTCAAGTCCAAAGCTTTTATACTTAAGGAGAAATGGCCAGGACAAAATTAAAAAATGAAAATAAACAAAGGGCAATAACTCAAAAAATAAGAAATGCAGAGTACCAGTTCTTGTGCACTGCACTTCTTCTTAATGAGACCTATCATCCTATGAAGTTTCAAGTCCATGGCTTTTATACATTAGGAGAAATGGCCCGGACAAAAATAAAGTATGAAAATTAACAAAGGGCAATAACTCAAAAATTAGGAAGTGCAGAGTACTGGTTCTTGTGCACTGCATTTCTTCTTAATGAGATCTATCATCCTATGAAGTTTCAAGTCTATAGCTTTTTTAGTTGAAGAGAAATGGCCCGGACAAAATTAAAGTATGAAAATTAACAAAGGGCAATAACTCAAAAAATAAGAACTGCAGAGTACCGGTCCTTGTGCACTGCACTTCGGGTTATTGAAAGAAGCATGCATACCAAGTTTGAAGTCAATCAGACTTATAGTGACTGAGTTATGCTCCGGACAAGCTTTAGCGGACACCGACGCCGACGCCGACAACGACACCGACGCCGACACAGACGCCGCCGCCGCCGACACCGCCGACAAAAGTAACCCCTATATGTCACCTTTTCAAGGCGACACAAAAAGACAACGTTCAATACATGAAACCAACAGATGAGTTCGTGGTTATATACTTCAATTACATACAAATTTTAATACTAAATCACTTGAAACTGTATCAACATTTCTTTTTCTCTTCAAGCAGTACTTATTGAGAATATCTAAATGAAACATTTCTATTTTTATTGATATTTGAAATACTTATGGAAAATGTGCCCATTATAGACCAAATCTTTTCAATAAAGAAAGAGGAATTCTCAAAAGATTAAATAGCAAATTCCATGTATATTTTTTCACAATTTATTACATATAATTTCCTAATTATACATTTTCCCCCTTTTTCAATTGCCTGCCTATATATGATTCAACAACAACATCCTTCTAAAACTCTCTCCTTGCGTATGAATTTCACAAAGTAGTGTAAATATATGAATATGATGCAATATTTGCATGTGGAATGACAGTTTTACTACATGTAGACCACTTGAATAGTATGAGATATAATAGCGGATCATTTTGTCAAAATATTTAAATAGGACATTCTATTATATTTTGAATAGACAGCTACACCAGGTATTACTTAAACAATGAGGGTGAAGCTCCTGAAATTACGTAAGACAAAGTTATAGCATATGTACGAAAGAGTTTGGTTGTAGTGTCAACTACCCGAACACACTAAGCAATCAAGAGTCCTGAGGATAACACTGTATCGCATTCCCCCAGTGTATCTTTGTTCATGTGTCGTTATGCATATAGTTAAATGTAACGGTTTCTTTGTCAATGATCAAATATGATCTCCTCGGCTTTTATGCTTCGCGATGAACTTCTGACATATATATATCTAATAAGACGACAAATTGGAACTACTTTCTGTATTATGATAAAATGGCGACCTGTGGTGGCAAAAGTGACATAGATATGAGTTCAGTGACATAGATATGTTTTCTTTTATACAGTAGAAGAAAGAATATCAGTTATATTTTGAAATTAATAGCAGTCAGTTGTCCTTTTAAATCAAGAATAGACAAAGTGTGTTACTTTCATGCCAACGAACACAGCCTTATAACCGGGCGAAATGAGTTGGTGTATCGGTCTTATACGTACGAGACCTCTTACCCTCATTATGCCGGAAGAGCCAATGTTTTACAATTGGTCACATTTTTTTCACAATATCATCTAATGCATTTAAAAAGTCTAAGAGCGTAGTTTCACAAGTATGTAAACGCCCTAATGAAGACTGAATAGGAATAAAGGATCTAAGAGATCGTTTTTACCTATATATTTTTTGAGACAAAGGCAGCTTCGTAATCAACATTGATAATAAACGATAAATTGTTGATAGATAATCCGGGAAAACTTGAGGACTTAACAATAACAGTGAAGGAGCTCCACTGAGGTCAAAAGCTGAAGAAAAAAGTCGGAAATCATACATAGCTCAACTGGGGCACAACGGATATGAATAAATTAAATAAATTATAAAAAAAAACTTGAGTAAAAATTGCGTTTAGACGCTGGTCATTTTAGGTCATTTTGTACAATAAAAAAAATATTCTGAGAGAGGGTATTACCTACATTAAATGGTATTAAAATCGCAAAAAAATTATCCCCGTCCCGTCATATCAAACGGAACCCCAGCGGAGTCCCTTTCATTTATATAGACTGATTAATATCACATATTTTGTACACCAGATTCATACAGTGTTTATAGTTTGTTTTATAGTCAATCATATAGTTTGCAAATATATATCTTTTAATGTCCATATCATCGATTTGTACTGAATTAATATTTTACTTTACTTTTAATAAAAACCATAACCTGTTTTCATATCATTTTATGTTAATTTCATTAAATGATATATTAATATATTCACATATTTTATTGCAATTAGGTAACACATGAATAACGTACAAAAATAGCATATCTCAATTTATTTTAAATCTGTGTTAATAATGCTATAATGAGGATTAAGAACATGTTAGAAGTTAAATAACTGACAAAACTAGTGCTAAATGTGCAGAAATGCGTCATTAAGGTAGCAAAATGTGATTAAGTGCCAAAAGAGCAAGAGAAGGAAAAACAATCATGTGTATGACAAATGAGTTTTTTTTTTTGAAACTGTAACAAAATACCAAAAAATATAAATTTATTGAAAAATAAAAATGAAAGCATTAATGGGGCATAAATGGCCTTTAAAAACAACATCACCATCAAATAAACCAACACCAGCTTTTGCAATGAGTCAATTAATTGATGTATAATAATAATAATAATAATAATTTTAATAATAATAATAATAATAATAAAAAAATTAAAAATAATACAAATACTACTGCTACTGCTACTGCTACTACTACAACTACTACTACAACTACTACTACTACTACTACTAATAATAATAATAATAATAATAATAATAATAAATATTGATCTGGGGTTTATTTTTTAAAAATGTCAGACAATTAATGGGATGAATATTAAATGGCATATATGTCCCTAATGATTGCCACCATTTTAACAAAAATGCTTTTTAACATAATTTGTAATTATAGAAAAAACAAATCTCAAGTCCGAAAAACGACCATGCCATGCGGAAATCTACGTGATATATTTCTTGGGTTAGAGCTTTGGGCCTTATATTATAGGAAAGCAAATCCACCAAACTTGTACAAAATCGAATCCGCATTCGAATCAGGCAAACGATTTTTCACAATTGTGTTTTTTACGGACATTTCAACAATGTATATACAATAATAACAAATCGCCGGTCCAAAAAGCAACAATTTTACTGAAACCTCTTGCTATTTCTTTTCTTGCAGGAGAGCTTTGAGCCTTATATTTCTGTAAAGAAAATCATCTAAACTTATATAATCACTTTGATAAGTACAGCTTTTTTTTAAATTACATAGCGTTCAGTATAGAAAACTAACTGTATAGAAACTATACAAAAAACGACCATGCCACGCGGAAATCTCTACTACATATGTCTTGGGTTGGAACTATGAGCCTTATATTTTGCACAGAAAACCCTCCAAACTTGTACAAAATCGAATCTGCATTGGAATCAGAGAAATTATTTTTAAACGGTTGGCTCAGGAAAATGGTGTTTTAATACGCTTTATTTAGAGAAACATACAACGACCATGCCATGCGGAAATCTCTAGTACATACTTCAGGGCTTTGAGTCTTATATTGTGCCCAGAAGACCCTCCAAACTTGTACAAAACAGAATCCGCATTAAAATCATTTAAACGGTTGGCGCAGGAAAATGGTATTTTTATACAATTTATATACAGAAAGAACAAATCGCCGGAACAAGAAAATCGACCATGTAACGCGGAAATCTCCCGGACATTTTGCTTGGGTTGGGGCATTGGGCCCTATATTGTGCAAAGAAGATCTTCCAAACTTGTACAAAATCGAATCAGCATTGGATCAGACAACTAATGTTTAAACGGTTGGCTCTAGAAAATGGTGTATTTCCTAAAATTTATACAATTTATATCCAGAAAGAACAAATCGCCGGTCCAAAAAAGGACCATGACAGGCGGAATTCTCCCGAACAAATTTCTTAGGTTTGGGCTTTGGGCATTATATTGTGTAAAGAAGACCCTCAAAACTTATACAAAATTGAATCTGCATTGGAATGGTGTTTAAATGGTTGGCCCAGGAAAATGGTGTTTTTATACACTTTATATACAGAAAAAACAAATCGCCGGAACAAAAAACTACCATGACACGCGAAAATCTCTAGCACATATTTCTTGGGTTAGGACTTCGAGCATTATTTTGTGCACATAAGACCCTCCAAACTTGCACAAAATCGAATCCGCATTGGAATCAGTGAAATGATTTTTTAAACGGTTGGCTCAGAAAAATGGTGTTTTTATTCACTTTATATACAGAAAGAACAAATCGCCGGAACAAAAGACGACAATGCCACGCGGAAATCTCCCGGACATATTGCTTGTGTTAGGGCTTTGTGCCTTATAAGGTGAAAAGAAAACCCTCAAAACCTGTACAAAAACGAATTAGGATTGGATCAGACAACTAATGTTTAAACGGTTGGCTCTGAAAAATGGTGTATTTTCCTAAAATTTATACAATTTATATACAGAAAGAACAAATCGCCGGAACAAAACGACGATGCTAGGCGGAAATCTGCCGGACATATGGTTTGGGTTAGGGTTTTGGGTCTTATATTGTGCAAAGAAGACTCTCCAAACTTGTACAAAATTGAATCAGCATTTAAATCAGACAAATGGTGTTTAAACAGTTAGCTCTCGAAAATGATGTATTTTCCGAAAATGTATACAATTTATATATAGAAAGAACAAATAGCCAGTCAAAAAAAGGGCCATGCAATGCGGAGATCTCCAGGACATATTTTTTGGGGTTAGAGCTTTGAGCTTTATATTGTGCAAAGAAGACCCTCCAAACTTGTACAAATTGAATCTGCATTGGAATCAGGCAAATGTTTTTTGTCACGGTTGTCTCGAGAATATTGTGGGTTTTTTACGAACATTTCTACACTTTCTTCATCATCCATAAGTATTTTTTATCATCCATTCACTCTGAAAGTGTTCATATTGCAGTCATAGTATTACATAAATTGCGAACAATTTGTACCCCATGTGTTCATATAAACAGTGGTAACTGTATTCATACATATATTTTGCGATAAAACTTTACAGTAGCAAATCATATCAATTTAGCGGATTTTACCATTTTTGTCTATATATTTCATAATTAACCGACACCCGGCCTTAAATTCACTATGTCAGTTGATGAATTTCAAAATAAACAACCGTTGTGCTCATATAGTTGATTATATGACATCGCGTGCTCCCGTAACTACCATTTTAAACAGCATTTACTGTATCCGGGTATAGATTTCGCGATAAATATATAATAACACTAGTCGAACGTCACACTACTGATTCGAACATACAGGCAATATGCTATAAATTTATTAATCACCTGAACTAATTTATTGATTTGTTTTAAATAATCACTCAACATCTGCATGCTAGCTATTGTTAGCTATTGTTTGCTATTGTTCTTGTCTTAAAGGTAATAGTGGCGTGGATAATGCGATATTCAAAATGTATGCCATGGTCTTAACATTGCCGAAGTCTTGTGTACATAACAATTTGAGATAATACACTTAATGGATCAAATGAATGGATTGCACATGAGCACTAAGATAAAGAGGTTGAAAACTTGACAAAAATATTTGATTTTTTTTGTAAGACAAAAAATTTAAAAACGGATTTTAACAAGATTTTCAAGGTGAGATTTTTTTCTCTTTTTTTATCAATTGGAAAGTTTTCATTCAAATGCAAGAAAAAGTATATATAATTTTTACTGAATAAAATTATCGACAGAAGTTTTTTTCAAGCTCTTTAGATTTAAATGTACATGTATACAAAAAAGTTTTGTGAAATCTATGTTTTTTTCAAGCTCTTTAGATTTAAAAGTACATGTATACAAAAAAGTTTTGTGAAATCTATGTTATTGTTTCCAAAAAAAATCAAATACATGAGGGTGATTTGCATTATCTGTTAATGTTAAGAGTTATACAAAATATACAAAAAATTAAGCACTACTTAAGAAATAGATATTACAAAAAAAACAATATTAGTACCTGAACCATATACTTAAACATTGAAAATAAAAAAGAAATACACGATAAAAACTTCACTGAGAAGAGACTTCTGACATAAACCATAAACGAAAAGTCCAAGCACCACCAATTTTATCATCAAAAGGCGCCCATCTCACCCCATAACCCCTAAATCACATACACACACACATCAACTTCAGCTTCGCCCCACATAAAATTTATACTTCTTCTGTCATGGCTATATGTTGTATGTGAACATTAAAAAAAATACATGGTACTGAAGACAGATTGGATGTAGATGTGTGAACAATTAAAATGGTATCCTTGTGTGTAACATAACTTCCTGAAACATTTTGTTTATTTCATAAACTATGACATTATCAACAGTTTCATCATCAGTGTTGAAACAACTGATTTCGCTAACACAGACTCGTGTATGGTTGATTTAGGCAATTTTGTAAATAAGGTAAAAATCCTTTAAAAATAATAAACACTTCCTTTTTTTCTCTCTCTTTTTTTTTCTTTTTCTTTAAGACAAAGATGCAATGTGTTTTGATCTCAGCAGTGTATTACGGACGCAGATCCGTTATTGAATAAGCCTATCTAATAGTCTAAGATTTGAAATTCTCATGCGTCACCGTTAAGTCGATATCTTAAAGACGATAAGAGGACCGTTGTAGTTGAGATAAAGAGACGCGTTAATCATTTTGAACAAATACACATTTCAACCTGTAATAACAAATACAATCGGTCCAAAAAGATAAATTAATATAAAAACGAATATACAAATTAATTGTTCCTCTTTTTATCTTTCCTCTTAAGGGATTTTAACAGGTAATTTATAAATAAATAGCATATAATAATAGCAATATATGATTTTTAAGTTATCACAAATGTTTTCAGAAAAATATGCAAGTGTGCAAACCATTATTGAAGTTATATTTAAACAAATAAAAGGATTTATTATGGATTTCGCACAGATTGATTTATCAATAACTTTCGTTGAAAGCGGAAAAAATCAAAAGTTCTAAATATTTTGGTCGTCAAGGTTTTAAAAAATGCTGTTATAAATACATGTACCATTAATACGTACACTTTTTCTTATATTGAATCCATGAAAAACCAAGGTATGACTTGAATTAAAGTATTTACAATTTCCATTTAAGAGCTCTGTTCAACACAACCGGTACTTCTTGTCAACTAATCAACAAATCATTCAGTTAAGATATCTCAATTTTTGCTTTAACCTGCGAAATAGGGATTACAAAACACATGATTTGGTAATATTTTCTCGACGCTTATATTTTCATGGCTAGTAGGAAAATAATAAATTTAAAGCATTAAAATAACTTTAAAATAAAGAAAAAAAACGGAATCCCTCAATAACGCCCAAATAGGAAAAATTGAAAATGTGTAAGGTTGGTTTTAGTCTGTTTCTTTAGCGGTAGTGCAAGCATCGAAAACTGAGAACGCTACTCTCCAGCTACTGTCTACTCATGCACACTCTCATACCAAAAAAAATGCAGAAATTGGATTAAGGTCTCCCTTAGCAAGAGAAGCTGAAAATTCGCCATATTGCTTTAACGCTGTCGCTTTGACTTGGAGCCAGACCCAACCCCCACCCACACACCCACAAATCAATGACAGTAGCTGCTGCCATTTTTCTATATTTTCTTCAAATACACTCTTTATCATTTGCAACCAAGAATTGCCATAATCATCATTATCATCATCGTCGTTTTGAAAAAAAAATCATAATTCAAAATTACTAGTCCCTCTAAAAGGAACAGTTTATTTTGTATCAAAAATAAAATAGAAATCAAACACACCTTAACCTTCATTAAATCTTATATGTGTGTCAGTCATAAAAAATACACTTTTTTGTCGACATGCCTGTCAGTGTGTCGTTAGAAAAACAAAAAGTTAAACAATGTGTCATATTATAAGTTTAGTCTCGAATTGGAGATATTAAAAAGCTCATCAATTAACGCGAAAATTTCATTGATATAAGGCATCTAAATTAAAACGCATGACACGCATTAACTAGTGATAAAAATTTATTTTGAACAGCTACTTATATCCAATACGACAGTATCAAGAATTATGTAGAAAAAGTAGAGAGAAGGTGTTTTTATTTAAGTACCAGTATATAAATAGCTAAAACGTCATGTCAATAAAACATATATAAATACTTTTATTTCCTCCAATATTGAAGAGCATAACATATTTACAGAGGTGAACATAGATATATACATAAACAAGTATAATACATATTAACAGAATAGTATATCCAATTTAGCATCGTTCATATAGTAAGAAGAGATGCATTAACATTAACATTTAATTAACATTAACTACATAAATTATATCAGATATAGAAAACAAATATAACAAAATAAATGTTAACTTACAATTTGTCTCATGAGGTGTTATTTTGTCTTAAATGTTAACTAGTATACTATTCAAACATTTTTGAAACTGGTCAAAGATCTTTGTTTGCAGTTTTTGTTTCACTTATTTGTTTTCCTGTTGCAAATACCTTACCACGTGTCTCACTTAAGTGATACTTAATTAAGGCTGTGAAATCGAGGGCCGAGTGCAATTTTAACAAGCAGGCTTACTTGTCGTCGGATGTAACAAAGTTTGGAGTATAAATAAAATCTTTAGATTTTTCATTCTAAGACTATAACAAGAGGGCCATGATGGCCCTGAGGTCGCTCACCTGTATATAGGCCCCCAACGTTGCAGGGCCAATTTAACCAAAGGGCTTTTATTTGCACAAAATTGGTAGACACCCATAAGAAGATGTTTCATGCTAAACATCTAAGCTCTAGCTCATTGGGCTTTTTAAAAGAAGATTTTTTTAAAGTTTTTACTATACACATATAGTTTAAAACAATGACACCCCTGGGGCCGGGCCAGGGCTTTTATTTGAACAAACTTTGTAGACACTTACTAGAAGATGTTTCAGGCTTAATATCTAAACTCTAGCTATTTAGATTTTTTCAAAGAAGATTTTAAGTTTTTGCTATACACATATAAAGAAAATCAATGACCCCCGGGGCGGGGCGAATTTTGACCCCAGGTCTTTTATTTGAACAAACTTTGTAGACACTCACTAAAAGATTTTTCATGCTTAATATCTTAACTCTAGCTATTTAGGTTTTTTCAAAGAAGATTTTTTAATTTTTTGCTATACACATATAAGGAAAATCAATGACCCCCGGGGCGGTGCCAATTTTGACCCCAGGGCTTTTATTTGAACAAACTTGGTAGACACCTATTAGAACATGTTTGATGCTAAATATCTTAGCCATAGCTCTTTGAGTTCTTTAAAAGAAGATTTTTTAAGTTTTTACTATATGCATATAGGGAAAATCAATGACCCCCCGGGGCGGGGCCAATTTTGACCCCAGGGCTTTTATTTGAACAAACTTGGTAGACACTTATTAGAAGATGTTTCATGCTAAATATCTTAGCTCTAACTCTTTTGGTTCTTTAAAAGAAGATTTTTTAAGTTTTTACTATATGCATATAGGGAAAATCAATGACCCCCTGGGGCGGGGCCAATTTTGACCCCAGGGCTTTTATTTGAACAAACTTCGTAGACACCTATTAGAACATGTTTGATGCTCAATATCTTAGCCATAGCTCTTTGAGTTCTTTAAAAGAAGATTTTTTAAGTTTTTACTATATGCATATAGGGAAAATCAATGACCCCCCGGGCGGGGCCAATTTTGACCCCAGATCTTTTATTTGAACAAACTTGGTAGACACCCATTAGAACATATTTCATGCTAAATATCTTAGCTCTAGCTCTTTGGGTTCTTTAAAAGAAGATTTTTTAAGTTTTTACTATATGCATATAGGGAAAATCAATGACCCCCCGGGGCGGGGCCAATTTTGACCCCAGGGCTTTTATTTGAACAAACTTGGTAGACACTCACTAGAAGATGTTTCATGCCAAATATCTAAGCTCTAGCTCTTATGGATTTTTAAAAGAAGATATTTAAAGTTTTTTCTTTCGGTTGCCATGGCAACCAGAGTTCTGCATGGAATTAAATTCTTTGAGCAATTTTTAAAGGTGACCACCAAAGGAACATTCCTGTGAAGTTTGGATGAAATTGGCTTAGTGGTTTATGAGGAGATGTCATTTAAAGTAAAAGTTTACGGACGGACGGACGGACGGACGACGGACGGACGGACGCCGGACGAAAAGCGATCACAAAAGCTCACCCTGTCACTTTGTGACAGGTGAGCTAAAAACGTTTAAACACTTGCTTTTAGAATGAAATAAGAAATTTGTTTAAGAAATATATTCTTTCCTGGTACAAATGAGTACGTACACTTTATGCTTTTTAAAACACCCTTTGTGTGCATGATGATATATTTATGAAATTATATATTGATGAGACACCGTGGCAATACAGCAGCTTTGAAGCTTGTTGACAGGTCCTGAAAAAAAATGCATTGACATTAAATATCACATTTATTTATAATTACAAAATAAGAATTTAATACTACTTTAAGATTATTTCAAAACAATTAAGTTTATTCCTTGATTTGCATCCCAAAATAATAATTATTGTGTAGCACTGGTGTTGAAGAATAAATCTACCTTCCGGTGCAGCAAACATTAGCATACCGTTTATAAAAATAAAGATAAAAGACAATGAATGTAAAGAGATGTCGTAAGGGAAACTGCACTGTTTATATATCAAAACTAAATAAATATAGCTTATTTAACCCTGTTTGTTCTACATAATTTATAGACCATTTTTCCTCTACAGCAATGAGAATAATGCTTATAAAAATCTATTCAATATTTATTGACAAAGGCTGTACGCAATAAGTCACCGTGTACATAAAACCAAACCTTGTTTTCAAGTTCTAACCGGAAATAATTATTCTAATTTTCTAACCGACCCAGTTATCGGAAAAATGGACAGTTAAATTGTTGAATAATTATGGTTGATCATTAGAAATACATGTAGTCAAGGATAATGAGCAAGTCATATGTTTCTATAAATAGATTTAGTCAAGTCACGCGAAAGTGACGCACATACGAGACGTATCTGAAGTTAAAGCAGCAGGATTATTTTGTTTTTTGGGATTTTTTAAAAAATGCGCAAAGAACAAAAAGAACATTGTCTAGTGATTAAACATCTGCTATCCTCGAACATTACATATATGCCAAAGAATTTTCAAGATAACTTTGGTGATGAAATTGTGAATTCATAAATAGTTCCATGAACCATATAAAAAATAAAATATATTTTAATTTAATTATAACAAATTGAGTTACATACTTCAATTTGATTTTAGAAAATAAAGTTATATATTTGACTTCATATTTGCAGACGAAGTTATCTATCATTGTTTGTTATTTCTTTTCTTTATATTTAAAACAGTTTTTACTTCATGCATTATAAAAATTGATACGGTGTTATCAAATGTGCAAACTTGCTCTATTACTGAATTATTAAACCAGGTTTTCAGCATATAAATGTATAATGAATTGACACTGACTCAAGACGACTTCAGTCCGAGGCTCCAAGACTGGTTCTTTCATTAAAATACGCACTGACAGTCTATCCTAAATTATTAGTAATTTTGTACAGCTTGTATGTTATAATTTCAGATACCAATAAATTGGTAATGATGAAGTTCTGACACAATAAATGGACAAGGACCTTTAAGTAAACGTGAGCAAAGAATGCCAATTTCGGACTTGCCATCGATTCCAACTGGAAAACCTGTTAGTAACGAGTTAGGATTTGATCGGCCGACATTAACAAAAGACTTACCAAGTCATGTCCGACATAAAACTGATTTTCATGAACACTTACCGGAAGTCCCGGTAAATCAGCAGAAAAGAAACAGTGAAGGTCAAGTTCTACAAGTAAAATTCGCACCAAATGTAGTCATACCTAATTATGAAAGGGTCAAAACAGTGGTACCCGGTTTCGATTCGACCGTGAATGTGGATCATAAGCATTATGAACAATGGGCAAGGGTACCAGGACGGAGAATACCTAATAGCACGCTTTTAAGAGGGATCCAGCAGCTAAAGTCCAGGATGAAGCGGGATAGCATGGAACAAGAGCATATCGAAGCCGTGGCAAACAACAAAGATTTTCATATCAATCAACTGAATAGAAACAGTTTACTTACAAGGGATAAATTGTCCGATGACAATTCTTCACGTAGGGAAAAGATAAATGTAAGTGTCAGCAGTTACGGATTAAGAACTCAAATTCCACCCCGAAGTCCATTGAAAACATGCGCTCATGTGATAGATTCCTCTCTTTTAAAAACGGAAAATCAAGGTTCTAGTGACGCAGATTTCTCAGATAGCCAAAAAGACACTGAATCGAGAACTGATCGTTTCCATGATCGTGATAGCTCTAAACCGCGACATGTAGTTTCTAAAATGCGGGATAGATGTGCGCTTCCGGTTTCAGTTTACCAACCTATAAGCATTGGCGAACACGTGTTTTTAGTAAATGAACCTATTAAATACACAGATTTCTTAAAAATGAAGAATACTGAATATAGAATAAAAAAGGATCCAAAATCAGCCACTACGATTCTGATGCCGGACAGAAGTGGAAAGGTTGTGAATCTTCCGGAACCTGGACAATATGAAAATAACTCTACTCGGAAGGATCTTTTTGACAGTTTACAAAGAACAAAAACTGTAGCTGGTGGATTCCCGCCATCAAGAACTCATAAAAGAACGCCCGTTATGGTCTCAAGTGCTGAATTGTTTGATTTTTCTCAACAATCAGAAATAAGAAATTTTATGGATGACAAGTTTTTCGAACGCAGTAAAACAGAGATTTCATTTCCAAGTAAAGGTGGGAGATATTCCAAATGGGTACCAAACGTGCAACGGCTTAAAGACGCTGTAAAATAGTTTTATTTTTGTTAATTTATTTCATTGTTGTTAGGCTTTAAATAAATAATATATTGTTATTTGATTTATAATCTGTTGTTTTTGTTTACTAGGGTACCCTTTTCACTTTCAAAATTACATGAAATATAACGTGAAGCTTAAATAAGGGACAAGATTAAATTTCAAAGTATGCAAAAATCAAACCAGGGCGGGAAACATTTGTTGGAGCACTTGAAAATAAATCAGTAATACGATATCAAGGTTGTCGTATCTTTCCAAATCGAGGCCAACATTTTTTAACATTTCCGATCCACTTAATACAAAAGTTTTCAAAAGAACCTCGTGACAGTTATCACAAGAACTCCTGACAAGTTATCATAAGAACTTCATCCCTCTTGTAATAGTTCCTCTCTGTGTAACCAAATGCAAGAACTAATGAATAGTTACATACATTCTGAAGAAAATGTTATGTTTAACTGGCGCAAATCGTAAACAAACGAGAGCAGCATTTTCTGAACATTTCCAATTCGCTTTTTTGAAAATAAATACAAAAAAGCAGATGAATAGGTACACATGTTCAGTTTGACGCACTCGAAAATAACCAGTAATGTGACATGAAGGATTGACAGATCGCCCAAACCGTGAGGGCAACACTTTTCTGAACATTTCCGATCAGCTTAACTCATATACAAGTTGCACGTTTTAAGAAGTAAACGTTCAGTTTTCGGGACTTAAATACATAAATATACGGTATTCACTATTTAGGCTTGACGAATCGCCCAAAGCGCAAGAGCACCAATTTTTCAGAACGTTCATTTTTAAACCACTTTACGCAGAAGAATAGTTTCACATTTTTCGCTGAAAATGTTAAGTTTTGTGCACTCGAAAATATAAGTTGAACGGTATGAAGGGCTGGCGAATCGTTCTTTACGCGAGGGCATTATTGTTCATAAAAATGTCCGATTTTGGCGCTCTCGAAAATATACCCTAATATATGGATATAAGTGTTTGTCGATTCTTCCAAAAGGCAAGGACAACACTTTTTCCAAACTTTTCTAATCCCTTCCCTCTAATACAAGAAATAAATGATTTAAGTTTCATATTTTCAGCAGAATTTATGGAATAAAAACATGGAACACATTTCAAAAATATGCAAATCGAGAAACATTAGTTTGTCGCGCACGAAAATACCCAGTAGTGCAGAATTAAGGGTTTTCGAAAGAAATAAAACAGATAAGGAAGGTTCATTTTCCTCCCTGAATTTATTTTCAATCTTTTACATATTTACGTTACTAGTTAACCTCTAAATTAACTAGTTAGTTAAGATGTTAACTAGTTACGTAACTAGTCAATCTCTTAATATTAAGCTGGTAAAATAATAAAAGTATGGCAGTTGTAGGCACTAACATGCATTTATTTCCCGTTATAATCTTTTATTTATTGAAAAAATTAATTTGATACGTGACTAGTTAACCACATAACTAACTCGAAAGTTATATGGTTATCTGGAAGCAGAAATATGCCACCATAGTACTTATTCATTAAGGAGTGAGACTGAAAAAAGGATTGGAGCACCACACTAAATACCATATTCCGGTATATACCGGACAAGGCACTTAAATGATAAAATGCTAAAATCTTGCCTTTTAACCCAACGGAGTGAACTTTAATAGGTCTAACTCATCTGTTCACACGGATTTATGTATGATAATGAATGAAAAATGTAAAAATCGGCGAAAAAAAACGATATTTGTCAATTTTGTGATTATGATTTCTGCAAGCGTCTAGAGGTACTGCTCCAATCCTGTATTGAGTACACCGTATACATGCATAAATATCCTGTACTACAAGTGAAAATAACACACGAAATGTGCAAAAGTTAAGCCAATACGTATTGAAGCCGACTTTGGTGATTGGTCCATATAACTTCTTATAATAACTCATATAAAACTGTTATTATTATTAATTTTCTGTAAACATCATTTTCTTCAGGGTTGATAAATGTTTGCTGAGTGAATTATTCTCAGTGATAGGTGTTCGCTGTTAGAGTTGTTATCAGTGATAAGTATTCACTGTGTGACATGTGTTCCGTTTCAAGTATTGGCTGAATGAGTTTTGCTCAAGAAGTAGTTCTCACAGTGTGAGTTTTGCTTAGTGCTTAGTGATAAGTGCTCACTGTCTTAAAATAATTTAGTAAGTAGTGTTCACTCGGTGAGTAGTACTCATTGCATGTGAGTTGAACATATTTAATAATTAGAATAGTGTTCACTTTTGGAATAGAACTCAGTGAGTTGTGTTCAGTATGTAAGTTTCACTCAGTGAGTAGCGTACACTGTGATTTTTTCTCAAGTGTTCACTGTTTGGGTTCTGTGTAGAGTATACTATTTGAAAAGCTTTCTGATAGTAGAATTAACAGTACATGCTGTGCTCAGTTATAAGTGACCACAGTTTGAATAGTGTGCAGTGAGTAGTGTTCACTGTGTGCACTGTTCTTAGTGAACTGTGTTCAATATCGTATCGATTTATTCAGGGAATAGACATAAACACTACAATGTTATCACATATATCATTTTGCATATATATAAACACACGCATAAATGCAACAAAAATAATTATAAGATTAATTAATGAGTATGTTCTATGTTACCCTAGTATTGCCCATTAAGCTAAAAGCTTATTTCCAATGGGGTTCATTTACTGTAAAATTATCACACTAACTTACATAATAATAAATAAATTATAAAGAAGTTAAAATAAATGACATTTTTTGAACTTTTGGTGTTCACAAGGTGAAATATATTCCAATCTTACACTAAACTAAACAAATTTTCTTTTTATTATATGCAAAGAAACGTTTTAAAAAGACATTTAACCTAATACTGAATGAAAAGCGCGCCAAAATAATAATACAACGTGACGTCATTTACGACGTCACGTCATTAAGTTGGTACCCAGTACTGTGCACGCTTGTATTTCACTGAAACAACGTAAGGGGCTTAAATTCAGAACAGTGAAATTATCAAAGTGGTAATTTCACTGTTTCAAACAGTGAAATTACCAGTTTTATATCACTGATATATTTCTATAAACCACCGAAAAGCATGTAATAAATAGAGGATATTTGTTTAGTTCAGTGTAAGATCGGAATATATTTCACCGAGTGAGCACCAAAAGGTATATTTCACGAGTGGCGCAGCCACGAGTGAAATATGAACTTTTGGTGTTCACAAGGTGAAATATATTTCGATCTTACACTAAACTAAACAAATTTTCTTTTTATTACATGCAAAGAAACGTTTTAAAAAGACATTAAACCTAATACTGAATGAAAAGCGCGCCAAATAATAATACAACGTGACGTCATTTACGACGTCACGTCATTAAGTTGGTACCCAGTACTGTGCACGCTGGTATTTCACTGAAACAACGTAAGGGGCTTAAATTCAAAACAGTGAAATTATCAAAGTGGTAATTTCACTGTTTCAAACAGTGAAATTACCAGTTTTATATCACTGATATATTTCTATAAACCACCGAAAAGCATGTAATAAATAAACATATTATTCACTTTATCATTTTCATTACTTAAAAACAGTTTTACTTTCGTTTTAAATGTTTCGATATTGTCGATTGACCTAATGCTGTCTTTTAAAGAATTCCAGTCTTTTATGGCAGTGTAGAAAAATGTGTTTGTAACATGAGAATCATTTTGAGGCAAAACAAAATTAAAATTACTAGATCTTAAATTGGATATTCTACATACCCTAAACAATTCTTTTAAATAAGGAGGGCTTTTGTTGTAATAAACTTTATGCATGTGGTTGAGTCTTAACTGTCTAACTCTATCATTGACATTCAATATTTTAAGATCAGACATAACCTTATTTGTCACCGAAGTTCTAGGGGTAACGTTTTTTATAAAGCGCACAACCTTATTTTGAGCTGTTTGAAGTTTGTGCATAAGTGACTTACTCAGTCCTTCGTACAAAGAAGATGAAGAATAATCAAAGTGACACAGCAAAAGGGCAGGACATAACTGTTTCTTTATTTCTTCCGATAAACATTTTTTTGTAACGGTATAGAAATATGTGACATATGCACTTGAGTTGTGCTCTGTACAGTGTAGACTGCGTGAGATGTGCTCAGAAAAAAAGTGTCCATTGTGTATATATGTTGAGCTTATATATAGTGACAAGTGTTCACTATTTGAATAATATTATATGCTTGGTAAGCAGGACCCTCTTTGTGAGTTGCAATCAGTAAATAAAATGTCACTCAGTCTATGTGAGAAGTATGACAGACGCTAATTATTCTGCGAGGTCACATTATTTCGTTACACAGGCTTAAGCGTATTTATTCATGTGCGTATGGTTGTTTTTACGTGTCGGTGTTTACCAAGCAAAAAAATCCAAAATTACAAGGTGCGTCAAAGTAATTTTCTCTTCGAGTGGTAAATAACAGAAAAATGGATCGTTATGTCATGTCTAATTATCTACATGTAAGAGATCAACGGGTATAATGCCACGAGGATATTTCTTTTCTATTATTTAGCTTTCTTTTCTGTGTTTTTCTTTATTTTCGCCTATTCACAGAAACCGGCATCCAAGGGAGAAAACTCCAACACAAGTACAGAAGATTTAGGACGTTTTTACAAAACAACAAATATGTCAGCATCTGCACCAGGTATTCAACTTCTAACAACTAATATAAACGGAGAAATCACCATTATTTTAATATTTTCTATTTTACTTTGTCTACAGCTTATCTAAAAAACTAATATTTCACAGTACTGTAGTTGAGGAAATTTCGGATACGCACACATATTTAACCAAATTTAAAATTTCTGATGTTAACTTATTAGACATTGTTGTTATGCTTGTCACCAGTCTTGTATATGATAAACTTTATTTATAAATTTTGATATTTGGGTTCTAAATCTTTGGAAAATATAACTATGAGAGTTGTACCTGCCACCTGGTTGCAATAAAGAGGGGGGGGGAGGGGATGGAAGAAAAGTGGAGATTGTTTTAGATAGGGTTTCATAATCGGACAAAACTCATAATCGATCATCAAAAATAATTGAACCACCCTTTTCGATCAATCATCGATTATATAATCGAAACATTTACTATAACAAAGTAAATATGTACAATGTTCATATCATGCTTTAATATTTATAAGAATTCCATTTCCATGTAACCACCACTTTATCAACTGAAATAAATTAGTTTATTAATAAAGATATACTATGCTCATCCTTGAGTAAAATATTTATCAAATAAATTCGTTAAAATCTATGAAATTATTATGTCTCACTTCCTAAAAGCAATGAACAAACTATGTATGGGAACAAGTTAAGTTGGTCCTTTCTTAACAAAACTGCCATTTTTTTATATTGACACTATATATTGATATTGCAACCACCTTTAGTGTGTAGAATAATTTTATACATAACATATCTTCTTTGTGTGAAGTCAAAACATTTTTATATTTACAAATAGACTGTGTAGCATTTTCAATATTCTCTAATGTCAAATTTGAGCATAGTATACCTTTAAACTAGCATGCCTCACAGTCAACTATTAACTCCATGGTCACCAGTATACATGTACTTTCATATTCAATTGAATAAAAATTATTGTTTCAACCAAATTGGCTTTAATTTAGTGTTGTTATAATACAGTGAGTCACTTAAGTAACAGCAAGAAAATAAATTACCGATAATCGATTATTAAACTTTGTAATCAATCATCGCTAATCGGTTCTATAAACGATCAATTTTCGATTATACTCAATCATCGTTTAATCCCTAGTTTTAGATATATAGTAATCATTGGAATTGACCACCTGTCATAAATAACATTGATAAATTCCCGATTAGGTCTAAGTCCTGTATTTTGTTACAGTTGTGTTATGTAATGTCAGAGTTTTATTAGAAAATTAAAAATAGACTTGTAAATAATACTAAATTCCTTCTGACAGAGTTTCATTTATAGTTTGATGGTTTCAAGATATAATCAAATATTATAAAATTTCATCGCCCTAAATTACGGAAAATATCAATGCAATACAGTTAAGTAAGTTTATAAGTTTTCCAGATCCTTGACCTCAATATCCTGGGAGTCCCCCCTCACCCAATAAAGAGAAGTTCCAAGAAATATCCACTGAAACTAAAAATGACTTCATGGAGTTAATGGTTATAGAGTAAGATATATATCTGAATAGTCATACTTATGAATATGAACAAAAATTACAAATTTGAACATTGATTATCTTTATAAAAACAAACCTTTTTATCAATTAAGAAATAGTGATTTTTTTTAAAATCCTTAAGTTTGTTATAAGCCATATCCAGTGCAGGGCTCGAGCTAGTGGGCGATTCGGGCGAAATAGTCGCCGAATTCTGTCTGACTTCGCCGACATCCTACATGAAAGCGAAGATGAAGTCGCCCGATTTTATTGATCCATTATTGAAAATTACCAACAATAACAATAACTGTGAATAACATGTTGTGTGTGTTTGCTTTGATTACCCTCGCCGCCGGAAAAAGGGACTGTCATGCATCTCAATTAACGCGAAATGTCATTAATCCGTTTGTTTACCAACATGTCATAAAAGTCTAATTAACAGACACTCGAGGAACAATTAGACTCCGCCCACAGCGAGATTACCGATACGTGCGAGAAACCAATCGTAATTCACGTTTTAATCGAGGCGACATTATTAAACCAATCATTAATTCGTTAACATACAACTACCCGTAACAATTATTTATGATGGACGGATCAAACGTCCAGAATTAAGAGGATCGCTCGACATATAACTGTAACGGTAATTTTAAATGAAAGTTATGATAACCTTTTTTGTCGACGAGTTAAATTTGATAAAATTGACGGCGTAATTACACTGTATTTATTACAAATGAAGTTAAATTAAAGATCGTTTCTTTCGTTATCTACTTTCATTTTCTTTACAACATAAGTGAATATGAATATAATGTCCGGCGCAAACTTTTTAATAGTAAATCAGAAGGGAATAACTGTTAATCCACCCATGATATGATCCATGATAGGAATCAACTATGGCTTTTTATCTTCATTTAATGCAATGGTTGCATTACATGATACTCATTCTTATTACTTGTTTCAAACTACTTTTAAATTAAAATTGAATATTCTGTAGTAACACAAATCCAATTCATTTAATAATTTAAGATACGTAATGTGAGTCAACATAATTGCGATAACAAACAACAAACATCGATAAATGAATCTCCCAACTTCTCCCTAAAGTCTCCCCACTTCTCCCTAAAGCAGCTGGAGGGAGAAGTGACTTCTCCCTAAATTTTGAACCTAGCTTGAGCCCTGCAGTACTTAACCAGTGGTTTTTTTCTACTTTATTAAACAACCTGTGGCTTTCTGAAGGGGAAAATAGAGCGGGATAAATCAGAAAAAGGGGAACCTGAAATCAAATTCAAACAACTGAAAATGGAATTTACCCACACATTTTATGAAAAAAATTAATTTCAATTCAATTTAACATGCATGGTACATAGCAGAGGCTGTCTATAGGGACAGATTTCTGTCTTCTAGCTGATATAAGTCAGATGCTGTTAAGTCATTGTTCTGGTAGAAAGAGCACAAGGCATTTTACGGGAAAATATTAGCATTTTTAGGGGATAATCTACCTATTTTAGGCTAGGGGAAACAGCATTTATTCAGCTGAACAATACAGTAAAAAAAAACACTCTTCACAGATTTATCTGTGGTATATTACCCTAATGCATTGCACAGATATACTACATATTTGTTTTTATTTATTTAATTTTATTTAAGTTTTTTTAGTTAATAACCATTAATAGTGGAAAAACTTAAAAAGCTGAATTTTACACAATTGTATTACAGTAGTATTTGGACTAGCCACAACAGAGTTGTGAGCAATAATTATGAATTAATTTCTTTCAAAAATTTCTTACATAGGGATTTCTCAAGACTGGCTTGAGAGATATCAGAAGAATTTCGAAAGTTCAGAGAAGAATATACTTGCTCAGAATGTGTGCACACAGCATAACCTGGTTGAGATGTGTTCAAGCCGAGCCAGGAAACAAACTACTCAACATTGCTTCTCACACAAGGTTTGAACCCGTTTCAATACTAACTTAAATAGGCTTGTCATTCTGGACAAGACCATGTCATCATTTTGTGTGAAATTTTTGACTGAAAAGTACAGACCATGATCAGATGGTAGGGGTGTGTTGGCTGATCTATTTCTGCACTGGTTGCACACCTAGAATCAGTTGCTACTAGCAGGCTAAGAGTTAAGTATTTAATAAATGCTGAGCCAATTAATGTACTGTAACAAAAGTAATAATTTGAGGCAGGCATTGAAATATGTTTTCAGAGTTACTCATTCTGCAGGACGAGTAGCCTCTAAATCCAATGTGCAGGCAACATTTTTTACTTGTCCTGCATCAAATTCTCTTAATTTCTACTTGTAATTCATGCGGACAAGTGGAATTTTCAATCTTTGATTTGAAGTAACCTAGTTGAGTGAAATATTGTCCCGAATAAAAGGTCTCAAACTATTATTAAGTAATGATTGTTTATTTTTTAATCCCTAACAAATAACATATTAAATTTATCAAATGAAGTTTTATTTTAAGAAACTCTTCATATTGGAAAAGGTATGTTCAATAAAAACAATTAAATTACCTTATATACATTTTAATTTTTCCATAAACGGTTCCTCTTACAGGTTGAGAAAGAAGGCAAACCAATGACGGACCAGAAAGGATCAGGAAGATGCTGGATTTTTGCTTGTCATAACATTATGAGAATTCCTTTTATGAAGAAATATAAACTAGATGAATTTGAGTTTAGCCAAACTTTCCTCTTTTTTTGGGATAAGGTAAGACAATGATGTAAACAATAATAGTTTTAGGTGTTGAGTATTCTCACATAATGACAAGAAAATAGATTCTTTTCACATAGTAATTATTACCTCCCGTGCAAGCCATTTTTTTTTTTTGGGGGGGGGGGGGGTGTCATTCCTAATATATCATGTGCATAAGATAAGATAAAAATCTCACATAATTCTATCATCTTCATGAATACTGATGAAAATCTTTTACATATTTGGGCTATAATAATATTTTGCTGCCTTTGTATAAAAAAAGACAATTCACATAAATTGGATGTTTATATGGATTTTTAATATTTTTTTAATTATATAGAAAATATGATTATATAGAAAACACCAAAAATAGCTGCCACTTTTGGCAAGGGAGGTAAATAGTGTAAAAATTGGGAATAATTATAGTTTAATGATGATTACAGTTTTAAAAAAAGGAGCTGCAGGCATCCTGAATAAGCAAACAAAGTTTCCATAAGTCTTATTTTTTGAAAAAAATAATTATTTAAGAGTTTCAGAAATAAATTTATATTTTAAAAGTATGCTGTAAATACATGTATACAAATTATGATTGGATTTACATTTTGTCTAAGAATATTCTCAGAGCAGGGCATACTTTTACATATATTTCAGTATATCAGAGATTAGCATATAAATCACTAGTTGAAACACCTGAAAATCTTGTTTAATTTCAGGTTGAGAGGGCAAATTATTTACTGAATGCATTTGTTGAATGTGCGAAGAATGGTGAAACATATGAGGGAAGGCTTATCAGTCATCTATTGCACAATCCCTCAGAGGATGGTGGACAGTGGGACATGCTTACAAACTTGGTTGAGAAGTACGGGGTTGTACCAAAAGTTTGCTTTCCTGAGAGCTGGAGTGCAGAAAACTCGCGGAAACTTGGAGAACTGCTGAATAATAGGGTAAGATATAAAGAGTTTATGTGTAGATGTGTTACTAGGCCAGGAGATTGGTATTTTTGGTAACGCTACCAATTTATGAGTCATTAACTTAATATAGTTAAAAATCATCTGCTAAGTAGAAAAGCCCCCAAAATCCACCATATAGAAATACATGTGTATCTTGTGTTTATTAAGCATAGTCATTGTTCAAGGTCCTTTCAAAGAATTTCAGACTTTTCAGTTCATTTTGCTCTTTAATTGCATAATCCCTATAGATATAATCGTTTGACCAATATATAGACAAATTACACCAGAAAGTTTATGCTGGAAATTTTATATGAATTATTAAATAAGTTGGGAGCACTGTCAAAGTATTTTTTTTTCAAACTGTGTTATAGGTTTTATACATTTTTTAATGGAAAAAAGTCTTCTCCAGTATGTTTAAGTCTGAGGTTATAAAGAAATTTTCAGGTATTTTGATATGTAAGAAATTGGCAGAGAATGCATGCTGACCAATAAAAAAACCTCAAGTTCCAAAATTTAATAGAGCTCAGAAAATTTTTATAACCTTTAATGTTTCAAGCATTTCTTAAACATATGGCATGTGTGGATAAAATTGTTTAATTTTTTTATATTTTCAGTTAAGAGAAGACTGTATGACGTTACATAGACTGGTGGCTGCTGGGAAGACAGACTCAGAAATTAATACTGAAAAGATGAACATGATTGAGGAGGTTTGTATTCATTGAAAATAAAGATGTTATATGAAATATATCTTACTGAAATATGAGATATTTTCATACCTGTGTCTGAAGGTTATTTACCTTGAGTAGTTTGTTTAAATGGTTATGTCTAGCAATTTTCACTATTTCAAGAACAAACATGGCATTGTCCATATAGCCGGCAGGTTAACTGGAAAAACAATTTTGCCCGCTAAAAATTGAGTCTATTATTTCCAACTTATTTGTTTCAAATAACTTCAAATATTTTTTTTTCTAACAAAAATCTACAATTTGTTTTACTTCCACTGACAACAATATTTTAATACTTCATCTAATGAATATCTCTAAAGAAGGGTTTAATTATGTGGCTAAAACTAGCTTTCTCCAGAAATCCAAATCACAATGAAGGTGAAACAAATATAGTGGCTATCAGATCTACATGTAAGAAATAAGTAGATCTGAACTTTAGTCAGATTGATGAAAATATTTTATTAGATATAACTTTAACCTTTTAAACAATAATTATATACCTCCAAACCACTTTGTATATTTTAAACAAGTTTCACAGGAATGATTCTGATGTGGTCATTTGGTAATGTAGCATACATAGAATCTTTACACAGTTGCATGTCTTCAAAACCAACCTCATCAAGGGGTCACTTTCTTTACTTTTTTTTCCCCAGAAGCCATTCATCAAGCTTCAGGAAGTATTACGGTTTGGTTGTTAAACACAGGTGTTTGTTTGTGACTTTAATCAGATGCAAAACAGGTCTCCTTCTTCATACAGATTAGTCACTTCCTTAAAATGAAACAGAACTTAGGGAAAAATATTAGAATTGTAACATTTGTTATATACCTTTTGCAGATTTATCGCATCATGTGTATCGTACTTGGAACGCCACCGACTAACTTTACCTACCAGTACTATAGTAAAGGTGAAGATGATAAAACACCCCAGTATAAATCGTTTGGACCGACCTCACCACTCAACTTTTATCGTGAACATATCAAACCAGACTGTGTCAATATGGAAGATATGGTTAGTATTACATTTTGGCACATTCTCATCTCTCAAGTTTAACCATTTAAATGATGGACTTTTCTATGTTTCAATCTGGAAGAAACTATTCATCATTTATAGGGAAATTTTCCAGATAAATACTGACTGAATAGCAAACTGTGCAGATCATATCAGAGAACACAAATGTGTGACACTTGATTCTGATGTTTTATTTCCTTTGTAAACATTGAACTTCATTATCACTGATGTTTTACAAGAGGATGAAATGAAAATTCAAAGTTTTTTTCTATATGTACAGGTGTGTTTGGTGAATGATCCCCGTAAACAAAATCCGTACAACAAACTGTACACTGTACAGTACCTCGGTAACATGACTGGTGGCAAACGGGTGCTGTATATCAACAAACCAATAGAAGACCTAAAACAACTTACTATTAAATCAATCGTGGAGAACAAATCAGTAAGTATATTTTAGAAATTATCAACTAAGTATTGAGGTTTGAATAATAAACCAGGATCGGACTTAAGACTGAACAGCTGTTTATTGGGTTACTGCTGTTTATTTGAGTATCAGCTACATGATTATTTTGGGTTTTAGCTTTTTATTGAGTTTCCAAAAAGATGTTATCCGGAGCTCGGCAAATGTGGGTTAATCCCAGCTAATCTGAAAGTACAGACAAACTTTTATCTTTAAGCATTACGGTGCACTACCCGTCACAATAGATAAGTGTACCTGTTGCGCTTATTTTCGAAGCTGTTACTGTAGAAGTTTCTTTGAACCTACGGAAAAGCTGGGAAAAACCCAAATATTCTTAATCTTTTGAAAAAAAAATTTAAACAAAAACACATAAGCTTCTGTATTTACAACATAGCATTAAAGTGAACTTTTGGACTATAGAATATTTGGAATACAGAAATTCTGAGAATGTTAATAACTAAGACTTTCATCACTAAGTAAGTAAAGTTGCTGGCTTTAATTCTGTTCCACTCATAGATGTTGGTTTAAATCTTGTCAGGGACTTTGAAATTTTTTATGTACTAAGTTGTTTGTCCGGCTTACAGAAAGTTGGTGGCTCTACATGTGTACCTGCAAGTGTCTAAGTGTCAAATGACCTTAACACTATCTATGTCCTGACAGAGACTTTGGATTCTTTCATGTGAGGAAGCTATCCAGCTAGCTTAAGGAATGTCGGTGGTTCTACTCAGGTGCCCGTTCATGCCTAAAATAATGCATGGAAGGGCATCTTAGGTCTTTCTCCACTAGTAAAGCTGGAACGTCGCCAAATGACCTATACTGTGTCAGTGTGATGTAAAACCCAATAAAAAAACAAAAAACTAAACCCTTACTGCAAAAAAGAACAAAATAAAAACTAAGCATGAAGGTGTACAAATATTGTCTGTATGATTTCAGCCTGTATGGTTTGGCTGTGATGTGGGCAAGTCTTTCAGGGGTCAGGACGGATATCTTGATCTGAAAGGGTAAATGTTTGTTTCACATTTTTTAATCCAAATTTTAGATTGATATAGTTTGAATCAATGCCTGAAAACTATTATATAATTTGTCCAAATATAAAACATGTTTCATTGCATAGGCTTCTCTCTTTCATAGTAGTTGTGATTTGTCCCTCAAAAACTTCTTTTTGACCATATAATTACTCCAAATAATGGTAATTCTAATGAATTTTCATGATTGTGCTTAACAAAACATATCTTAGAAACACAGAACATATCTTAGAAACATGAAATATGTCTTAGAAACATGTCTTAGAAACATGAATCATGTAATAAAAACATGAATCATATCTTAGAAACATGAAATATGTCTTAGAAACATGTCTTAGAAACATGAATCATGTCATAGACACATGAAACGTCTTATAAAGATAAAACATGTCTTAGAAACATGTCTTTACTCTTAGAAACTTGAAACATGTCTTTGAAACATGATACATTGTACAATGTACATTTCTTAGAAACATGAAACATGTCTTAGAACAATGAAACATGTCTTAGAAATATGAAATATGTCTTAGAACAATGAAACATGTCTTAGAAATATAAAAATATGAAATATGTCTTAGAACAATGAAACATGTCTTAGAAACTTGAAACATGTCTTTGAAACATGATACATTGTACAATGTACATGTCTTAGAAACTTGAGACATGTATTAGAAACATGAAACATTTCTTAGAACAATGAAACATGTCTTAGAAATATGAAATATGTCTTAGAAATATGAAATATGTCCTAGAAATATGAAACTTGTCTTAAAATCTAGTTGGACTGTTATCAAACTTGTTATCAACTTTAATAAAGTTGTCGTGTATTTTTTGTGTATTTAGGATTGATTACAAACTAGTGCTAGGAATTGATACTCTCAAAATGAATAAAGAAGAGAGACTGATGTATGGGGAGTCACTTATGACACATGCAATGACTTTTACAGGTGTCAACTTACAGGTGAGTGTTAATGTGTGTATATAGATACTACATTACTAAAACTAGACCTGTTGGCGGTCCTTGTGTCTGAGAGGTTTGAGTCACTAACTTAGAATCACCTACCCCTCAGTGCTGTGTTCAAATCCATTCAAAAATGTCTATCTACTTGTAGCTTATATAAAGTTGGTGGTTCTACTCAGGTGACCATTTGTATTGGAAGTAATGCATTTAGGGGCACCTGAGGTCTTTATTCACTATTAAAGCTTGTAAGTTGTCATATGAACTTTATATTGTAGGTGTAACAAAAAACAAAACTACATTTGTATAGTGTGAAATTTGGCTGTTCTTCTGGCTGATCAATCTCCAAATTCTCAACATGATATCGCTAAAATTGGTTATGGAACAATACAAAGTTGAAGATTAACAAAGTTACTCTATTCGTATGGATACAGTTTACATGATAAATTAAATGGCAGAAAATGAAAACTTAAATAAAGTTTTTTTAAACTTAATTATGACATAAGTTTATTCATGTGTACAAAAAATCACTTGACAAAACCTACATTTTATTCTAACTTTAATAGTGTTACATTTAAATGTAGATTTATTCCTATTGAAGACTTTGTAATTGTCTAATCGAGGATCTAGCTAGCTTACTGACTGTGTCAGTGGTTTTACTCAGGTACCAGTAACCTGTTTGTGCTTTAAATAATGTACAGTGCTAAAGTGTCCGTATGACCTACATTGTGTTAGTGCTACAAAAAAACCTGACCAAAAATAGTAAAAAAAAAAAGAAATTGCTTCATTACACTCCTGCGCCATGGTAAATTTGATAGATTAAATTACATATTGCAGCAGCCTCTTTCAGATGTTTTATTCACATATTTATTATTTGTTTCTAGGACAACTCTGAAGGAAAAACACCAAAAGCAGACAAATGGAGGGTGGAGAATTCTTGGGGGTCTGGGCGTGGTGATAATGGTAATTTTATGTTTTTATTTTTTTATGTATTCTGTATTATTACATCATCTGTCTAATAAGCCATGCCTTTTCTAGCTCTCCTGATCAGAATAAGTAAAAAGTCCTTCAAGTCCTAGGTCCAAAAACCTGATAAATTTTTAGTTTTAAAGATTTTTGACAGGTTATATAGCAGCTGCCTATATATATGGTGAGGGTTATCTTGCAAATAACCTTTATATATGGCCATATAACCTGTCAAGAGTCTTAATAAAGAATTTATAATACATTTGTACCCAGTACTGCAAACTTCTTTTTTAAAGGAAAAATGCAATTATTTCATAAATCAGTTGCAGCCATATATAAAGTTTATAAAAATATCATGATTTTCCACCAAAAAAACGAAGTCATAAATGTGTTATAAAGCCTTAACTAGTCAGCCACTTGGAGAGAAATTAGTAATTATGGTTTGTTATCCAGGGAAGCAGGTTAGATGGATGGACTGCCCAGATATAACAAAAATCGTGTGAAGAATTGGTTTTATTACATGCTATTCAGTGGTTTATAGAAATATATCAGTGATATAAAACTGGTAATTTCACTGTTTGAAACAGTGAAATTACCACTTTGATAATTTCACTGTATTGAATTTAAGCCCCTTACGTTGTTTCAGTGAAATACCAGAGTTCACAGTACTGGGTACCAACTTAATGACGTGACGTCGTAAATGACGTCACGTTGTATTATTACTTTTCATTCAGTATTAGGTTTAATGTCTTTTTGAAACGTTTCTTTGCATGTAATAAAAAGAAAATTTGTTTAGTTTAGTGCGAGATCGAAATATATTTCACCTTGTGGCAGTGCCACTCCTGAAATATACCTTTTGGTGCTCACTCGGTGAAATATATTCCGATCTTACACTGAACTAAACAAATATCCTCTATTTAGAACCAGAGAAACAAATGACAAAAACCAAAGTCTCCTCTATAGAAGCTTTTTTGATAAACTATATACTTGAAATTCTTTGTGACGATTTTAAAACAGGTTATAAGTCTGCTACCATATATTATTTTTCCTGACATATTTTTCTATTAATTTATATTAAAAGGTTACCTTGTGATGACTGATGACTGGTTCTCAGAATTTGTGTACGAGGTTGTTGTCAGTAAGAAGCTTCTGGATGCACAGACTCTAGCACTGTTGGACCAGGAACCAATCGTTCTTCCAGCATGGGATCCTATGGGAGCTCTCGCTCACTAACAGGGAACCAGAATGATAAACACCATTCTAGTCTGTGATTATTCTTTGTGTGAAAACTGTTCAAGTAACTAAAATAAGTATTTATCACATACCCCTGCCACTTTTGCGACTCCGTAAAAATGGTATTGCACGGCCGTGCATATATTTTGATGTGTTGTTATTTGCATTATATGAAGAAGCTAAATGTTAGTTGTTATATTATAGGCGCGTCAATGAAAATGAATCTTTTTTCGTTTCAAACTGTCTTTATTTTTGGTATGTGATAAATAGAATATTAAATTTTTATTTTTGGAATGTGATAAATAGAATATTAAATTTGTGCAAGTTCTGTACTAATTTTATTGAACTAATTGAAAAAAATAATATTATGCTCGCCAGAGGGTCATATAATATAATTGTATTCAACTGTTGTTCAATGAATTCAGTATTAAACTTACACTCGTTCAATATCCTCTATTTATTATATAAAATTCTCTACTTTGATGTATAAACAACTTAGTTTTATGATTTCATTCTTTGATGATGGTACTTACATGAACAAATCTATCAACATTCCAAACGTTTTATTTTACAAATTTGTTTTATTTTCATAATTTACAATGTTATTATTATTATTTTTATTATTTTTGGCTTGGGAACATAAATGTTTTGAATTTCAATTTAGCTCACCTTGCACAAAGTGCCAGACAGAGCTGTTTGGATCTCTCACAATCAGGTGCAATGTATGTCTGTTAACATTTTCCTTTAAACACCCATCTCCTCTGATACAACAATGATGAAACTATGTATGTATGTATTCTAGGCTTAATGAGGGTCCATATGCCCTGTCAGGCACTGTGAGTACGAACCCTTGACATGTCACCATTCATGTCTTTAAATGTACTGAAAGGTGACCTATAAATTTAGATTTCAGTACTTCACGGAATGATACTAAATATGTTGATAATGAAACTTGGCAGTGATGTTCCTTTTTTAATGCCCTATCAGAGGTGTTCAAATAATTCCATGCAAAAATTTGGTTATCATGGCAAAAGACAGGAAAAAAACTTTAAATCTTACAAGAAAGACTAAAACTTATAAAAAAAAATATAGTATTACAATTTTGACCTCTTTGATGCTGAAAATAAATTGTCATTACAGAGGATGATAAAAGATAATTGTTTAAAAAAAAGCATATAAAGGTTGCAGACTTCATTTAGGTGAGCTGTAAAAGGACCATTATTGTCCCCTTGTTTTGGTGTTGGTTTTATTTATTTTATTTATTCATAATTAAGTTGCCATATACTGTCTTAAAGATTAAATCATGTTGATAATTATTTTTTGATATTATTTTATCTATATTTTTGTATTCTGTAAAATACGGTTCCATCAAACATTTGATAACATATCATTTGATTAATAAATAACTATTTTATTACAAATTTTGATAATAAGTCCTTAGAATTTGAGATTTTATTTCAATGAGTTTAAAGCAGTAGGTATTCAGATTCTTTTGTAATATGTTGGTGCCAGTAGGCAGAGGGTTAAGAATTGTTATTATGGGCAAAACTTTCATCAAGTGTACAAATAAAGTGATTTAAAGCTGCACGCCTCCAGATGAACCAAAATATTTTAAGAATTTGAGAAAAATGTACTAAGTTTTTAAGATAAGTCAGAAGAGTTAAGAAATAATTGGCATGTAATGAGGTAGAAATATGTTACATCTATAAAAAAAATGCCGCCAAGGCAGTCATAATCAATATGTATATGTATGTTTTTTTTTATTTCTGATAACATTAAAAGATTTGAGTCAGTGGAGGAGTGGTTAACACGTTGGACTAGTAATCTAAGGATAGCTAGCAGCATGGGTTCAAACCCTGTCAGGAGCAAACCGTTGTTTCCTTGATCAAGAAACTTTGCATTCATTGTTTAGTACTGGTTGGTTCCACCAACAGACTTGACAGAATTTCAATTAGATTATAGCTTCCAACATAATCAAACTAAAATTTATTAGTATAAACTAAAAGACTTTTAGTCAACCTGGATGTTCGCAGCTACAAAAATTATACTTAACAATGTGAGATATGAAGAATAGTAAATGTTTAAAGTGTTCAAATCCCAGATACAGCGCTCTTTGTTATGAATAGGTTGAGAATATCCTGAATCAAATCAAATTGTTTTTTATTTAAGAAAATATTGTTTCAGGGCTGAATAAGTTGTCATGGTAAATTTTTACCTGGTTATGTTATCTAAGAAGCTGTGATGTTGTGATTGTTTTGTTGTTGTTCTATACATGTATTATCTTTTTTCTCTTTTTTTCTTCATCTTTTGTTTGTTTGAGAAATTTAAATTTCATAAAAAATCGATTTTTATTAAGGTTGAACACATTTGATTTATATACAATCTTGTCAAAATCAATCACTACCTCGAAAAATAAAGAACATATATAAATGGTATAATGTATAAGGGTTTGTTTGTTGTTGTTGTTGTTTTTGTATATTTTTTTCTCAGACATTTAATGTGATTTGTAAATGAGGTGATAAACTACACATTTTGATTTCTAATATTTCTTTGTAAATTCAGTAAAATTAGAAAAATTTTGGAACTTCGTTCTAATATCTAATGAAGTACTCTTAATACTTAGACTTTAGTTTTCCTTTTGATATGGTTTGCATGCAAAAATTAATTTGATTGTGTCAAATGTATTTTTGAGTATATGCATGAATGATGTGAATATTTATCAAATGATATTCTTGTATACATTAATATATGCACAGTTTATACATGTGTATGAAATAATCCACCGTCATTTACAATGCACAGCACAGAATATATATATATTCAGATCTATTTTCAGATCATTTATAATCAAATAAAGATTAAGAAAATAATGATTGTTGTTCTTATAATTGCGAATTGAGGTAAAAGTCATAATTTAAATTCTATATGCCCACGATTGATAAACATGTAATCAAATGTTAATGGTTCGGCCATGGGTATCCGACGATGCTTTGACGAGTTAGCCAATTGACGTGATGACCAAAAACGGGACGAGTTAACCATTGTACGAGTTGACTAAGAGACAAGTTTAATTTAAATCGAAAATTCTTGATGTAAAAACTTACTTGAAGCTGTCACCAACATCTTAGAAATGATATGGATTGAAAGAAAAAATGTAATTAATATGATAAAAACAACATATTTTACATATACAAATCTTTAATTTATCAGTGTGTTAGTGAAAAATACAACAGCACTATAAAGTTAGAATAAAATATCACAAAAATTGTATCACAGTAGAGAGGAGAAAAATATCTGAAATAAATAATATATATACATGTATCATTGATTTAGGTTATTTACCTACAAGAAAGTACAAAAATTAAGCTATACATAATATAATCTCGGATTAGTTTGTTATGGTTTAATGTAACACAAAAGTTATTCTTTGCTAATTATTGGAAATGGAACTAAACTAATCTGTCTTCTCGTAATATTCAGTCATTATCTAGGAGATAATCTAGATTGACATCTAAATATAGACATATTATAATGTTTATAGGTTTCATAATTTGCAAAATACAGGGTAGTATATCCGCCGACCTTGTAATCCGGTTTGCTAACAATAGGTGTATATAAAAGCCATAGTAAATGCATTTGACGTGCTTAACCGAAGTGCCACAATTCATGATGTCATGTAATGTCAAACTATTATAAATGGTGCAAATCGTTGTTCAACACAATACACACAATTGATGAAATCTTTCGATTTTTCAGGGTTTTTTTTTTAAACATTAACTGAAATGCATTTGTTATAAACGTATTTAAACACATATTTAAATTCCATATGAATAACTTCTATGTAATTTTGGTGTGTTTTTTTTTAGCGAAATTGAAAGAAATGCTATAAAACAACTGCCATTTACAGTCTACTTTCTTTTCTAGGTTAAGCGTTTAAACTTTTTACTGTTCTTCCACTGCGACGCTCGTGTCTTGAAACTTCATTAAAACTATGACGTAGGTTTGTGACTTCACGTTTCAACGTCGATGACGTCAAGCTCATTGCCATGCGCACCTGCATCAGCCACGGCTTTTCTTTAAAAGTATTAGCGATGGCCAGAGACTTGACAGCTCTATCCCGAGCATCCGTGCCTTGGTATTGGGACACTAAATTCATCATAGGAATAACAATATCATCTTCACGGACGCCGTTGTGATAGAAAAATGGCCGAAGGTCATGCTCCATGCTTATCGCCGGAAGTGCAACTGCTCCTTCCGCTTTAGACTTCCTGCCTTGCTGAAGCAGCATGGCGGAAGTAAGTTTCTTCTTCTTTTTATTTGCAAGGGACATCGAAGTTCCTGCTCTTTCCAGGGTTTTATCAGATTTAGCTGAGGTCAGGCTTCCTCTATCCCGATCTTTAGTCGGTTCTTTTGATGTTTCCTTATGTTCTTTATTTTCGCTTGTCGATTTCACTTTCATGTTTGGCATGGAAGCGCTTATATCCGTTTTCACTTTTGTAGTTAAGCCGGTTCGAATGTATTTTCGGCCTTTTTCTGGAACGACGCTTAATTTGTCAACTGGATCTAATCTTTCTTCTTCAGGGTTGCCATGGGCTACGGAAGGTTGAGACTGAGACAAGGTCATATTGATTCTATTCTTTTCCATGATTGGAGGAAGCTTTGTGTCTTTCTCTACATTCGAATCTTTATTATCACCGCCTTCTGGGGACTCGTCTCTTTCTGGCCCATCGGTTTTATCTCCTTTTAAAGCGTTCTTTAGTCCTGCGCCCAACATTGCACCAACGCTTGACCGCCCAACCATTTTACCCCATCGAGTATTTTGTCGAAATTTAGGTCCGTATGTTTGAACCGCCGTCAGGTGCTTGAAATAAGATTCCGGATCGCCGTCACTTTCTGACGTTGAAGTGTTGGTATTGTTTTCATTTGCTTGTCGTCTGCGGTCTTTCATACTTTGTACATTTTTTGATTTTCCGTTCATTGGACTGGCTGAAAATCCATCAACAATTACTCCATGACTCACCAGTGGCCCAGTATTGAAGGAACGCCGCTTCAGAGATGATTTATTCGGACCAAATTTCATAAATGCTTTTTCCTTACACCGTTCACACCAAAGTTTTATACGTCTAAATGTTTGTAAAGTCATAGACTGGCTACGAGTAACAGGGACTCGAACCCATTGTTTAGTCAACAAGAAGGAGGCACATGGTCGTTGTTTGTTTCGGAGTGCGAGATTGAGCGGGGTTAAACTGTGGCCGTCTCTAGCCATTGAGCACGTGATATCCGTGTTTACAAAAAGTCTTAACACTCCTAGTTGCCCGAACTCGGCTGCCTCGTGCACAGCTGACCTCATTGTTTCCACATGCGACTGTTCTTTGCACCATTGCCTGCTAGGATGCTCACCTATAGGCTCGTCTGGTCGGATGCCGGATTTTATGCAAGTTCTCGCAAGATCTACACATCCAAAATGAGCGGAAATGTACAAGACCACTTTCAGCTGAAATCGTGACTGAATCTCGTCTGATACAACCAAAGGCATCACGCTGGGAGTCAGGCCGAGTATACTGTAATTTATTAACTCCGTCCAGCCGTCCCAACTTTCCATGTAGACAGTGTCACCGCATTCTATGCTATAATCAAACAGGACGTGTCTGTCAAACAATTCTAAATTATCACGTGATACTAATCTAAAAATAGAAACCGGAAGTCCAGATTTCTTGGAAACCATTGTTCTTAAATCGTCTACCAGAAGTTTTTCAACGAAATAATCATCCATGATCTCAATTACTTCGCCACTGTGTGAACATTTTACAAACAAGACTGGCTTAACCTCCTCTTTCATGCAGACTTTCACCGTGGACCCTGGTACGATCCCCAAATCTGTAAAAATCCACGCATCGCTCAAATCTGACCCGGCGTACGACACCACCAGAACTTTTTTGTCTTGTTTTACCAAGTCGTCAAAATATATGTTTAGTTTGACCTGAAATGTAAAATCAGACATCTTTCTGTAAAAAAACATATAGCCGTGTCGTCAATATGAGTTTTAACCTAAACATATTCATTTGTGGTTTCAAGTAGATTTTTATAAGTAGGTGTGGTTCTGACTATCCTATCTTTTAAATTATGTTTGAAAATGTTTCCGATAAATTTTAGTTAGACCGATTTTGAAACTGATAACATTGCCGTTCAAGAAATTATGTATTACCTTGACCATAACCTATTTAATTTCTTAGATGCAGCTACATTTGTGTGTGTGTGGGGGCGGGACTTTTCATAATCAAATTTGGGTATATCAAGATGAGAACTTAAAGCTAGTCTGCAAGCACTGTACATCCTGGTTAGACTCCATGAATGTGCAAGTTGGCCTTGTTCTATACATATGGTAAAGGCTTATCACTTCCGGTTCTAGCAGGCTAAGCGCAGCTGCTGAAGTTAACACATTAGATAGGAGGTCCATGTTCACAACTATGCATGGTCGACAATGGTAAAATGATTTGCCTGATTGGAAATTGTTGTTTCTTTTTATTTGACGATTGATAACCGGATATGTATGTCTTTTCTTGTCCGTCCATAAATCCCTTTTCCTCATGGTGATTTAGAGTTACATATATGATACACATATTTGGACAGATTATAAATACTAAGCCTAATACCATAGCCTTCGCCTGTGCAATGCTTTATCTTTATTCTGACCTGGAGACCTTTTCTTTTTATTTCCAATTTCCATAGAATATTTTCGGATTATCCTAAAAGAATAGTGCGATAATCCCATTTAATCGTAATCCCTCAAATAACCCAGTTTTTTTGTTTTATTTTAGCACCGTTTGAACTTTCTTTAGTCCATAGGGGGACTTTATTTATTTATTTATTTATTGCAACAGTTATTTAATGGATGCAGTGTTTTTCGATAACTTGAATATAATGTAGTTATTTATACCAATTTACCTCAACAAGTTACTCAATGGACGACTAAAGATTTGAACTTCATGAACTTTTAGGGTTGAAAGAAGCCCGACCTTATCGGATTAAAACCACTTGACTCTTTGTACAAATATATTTCTTACATTGTCGCTCTAAATATGGAGTTTATAGATATGTTATATACATATTATATATTCCATATACGTTGGTCAATCTTCAAATTAGCTTTTCAACTAACTTACGAACGAACCATTTTTATACCTGGGCGCATACACGAAGGGCTTATGTTTTCTACTTGCTGGGTTTTAGCTATGTGTCGCAATATAACATTAACATTATATATATTAAATTATATGTAACCTTAATATTATATATATATGTAACCTAACCATTATATAGACATATTAACATTATATAGACGTAACTGTTACATTATATAGACATAATCTTAATATTATATAGACATAACCTTAACATTATATAGACATAACCTTAACATTATATAGACATAACCTTAATATTATATAGACATAACCTTAACATTATATAGACATAACCTTAACATTATATAGACATAACATTATATAGACATAATCTTAAAATTGTGAATTATAAATGTGACCTTAAGTAACCTTATTATTATATAATATGTAAACTTTACATTATATATAGTATGTATATATGTAACCTTAACATTATATGAAAGTAACCTTAACATCATTTAGAAGTAACCTTAACATTTTATAATACTGTACGTTTGTACCGTCACTTTTCATTAGATAATCGTGACGTTTATATAAAACTACATGTACTCGTATATAAACGTCACGATTATCTAATGAAAAGTGACGTTAAAATGTGCAGTATTATAGTGTCAAAAATCTTTATATCTAATAATATATATGTACATGTACCTTTAATATTATTTAGAAGTATTCTTAACATTATATAGATGTAACCTTAACATAATATAAAAAAGAAATAAGTTCAGCTTCAATTTTGACAGTGCCATTAATTTAAATTTTAAATGGTGACTGTAAAAAATCATGGCTTACGTATCACCGAATTAAGGCAAGGCGGTCAGTGGAAGTTAAGGCTAATTTGTATATTTATTTTAAAATTTATAGTTTACTGAATTAAATTGAAAGCGCAAAATATTGAAAGTGATCTTGGTTACTATATAATTATAAGAAATGTTTATGTCGTTGTTATAAATTGTTTATTATTCTTATTATTACTATTAGATCAAAATTTCATATATTTTTTCTCTTGCTAGTATAATTCGTTCAAAGCTTGTTTTAGTCTTTTATAAAAGGGATTTCGAGAATTTCTTTTATAAAATCTGATTCATGGCACCTTATACAAAAATTTATTATCATCGCCATTTATTTCAATTATTTAACAATAAACCTATAACGTCAACATGATGAAGCTTAAACATGTGTAGTAATAAAAATGAAGTGGGGGGAATGGCCGAGTGGTCAACTTGTCAAACTAGTAATCTAATGATAGACGCATGGTTTCAAACCCGGTCGAGGGGACAAGGCGTTGTTTCCTTGAGCAAGAAACTTTACACTCGTTGCTTTGTTCTGGTTGGTTCCAGGATCGGACACGGAAGTGTGACAATAGGCTTAAAACTACCTACATAATCGAACTAAGATAAATTCTGTATAAACCAATTTTAAAAATGTGAGATTTTGTGAGATCATTGTCAATTAAGATTTATGAAGAATTTGATTAAAGTAAATTGGTCTTTTCAATAAATGATAACATTGATAATGATTAGTATCAGACATAACAACAAACCATGAAATAATTATATAAGACTGTTGATGGATAGAGAGATGGTGTGAGATACATGATCCGATATTACATAATTTATATGTAAATAATAAATTATTTTAGAACAAAATATTATTTTTCATAATATAAATGTTCATTTAGAACTTTATCAACATTTTTCTGAGTAATAATTAGTAAAAATATCCATATGATACATTTCTATTGTTTTTTATCAACATTTGAAATATTTAAAGAAAATGTGTCCATTGAAGGCCAATCCACTTTAAAGTCACAAAAAATAACATGAAATTTCGCATTAAAACATACTGTGTATAATCATATGAAACTCTATATAGATAGATTGATAGATTAAAATATGATACTTATAAGTCAGTTATGTCAAATTCAGAAAATTGATACTTTAACCATTCAGTTAGTAAGTATATACATGTATAAATAAAAAATTCACCTGTATCATTTTCTTCACCTCCCCCACCGTCGACCCAAGAGGCACATCTATCGCGACCCTTTCTCCTTCGTGAACGCCAAATATCAACATGCTCGGTGCTCTTCGTGGTTTGCATTCGGAACTTATGGACATTAAATTTGAAAACTCCTTCTATCGCCACACTCGGAACCGTTTCGCTAAATCTCTTTAGAAACGGGAAAAAGGGAACTTTTCACTTAAAAGTCCCTTTCTTGCAGAATCCGATCTTTCTTTCCTTCAAACACTCGTGAATAAGTAAGTATCAAAACTCGAACAAGTCTTCAAAAATCTTGAAGTTTTTTGTGTGCAAAATTAAGATTCTACCCACAGTCTCGACACTGCCTTCTTTCTGAAAGATAGAAAATTAAAACATCCAACTTCAGTGATTTATTTGTATTTTGTGACACCACACTTGATTTTATTTAAATTTACTCTTAGCTTTAAGTATATAAAACGAGCGAAAATGTCAATAGGCGGGTATTTAGATTCGCTCGCAGACGCATTTACAATAAAACGAATTGTAAATTTTTCAAACTTATCTACCGACTTACACAGTGTTAAAGATGTTATATAATAATTAATACCAATTAATCCATGTTGAAAACCAACGATTATGCAATAATTCGCCATATTTTACAATCATAATGAACCCCATTGTACTCCACAAAATTTTATTGATAAGATTACCTGAATAATTAACAGCCATGGTTTTTAACTAGTTTTTCCCACAGATTTTAGTAATAATTTAAAGAGAAAAAATGCGCGTTTTACAACTCCTCTATGAATTTTCATACGCGCAATATTTCGGTTGAGCACCCAGTGGTAAACTAACACAGTCAGTTGATAAGCAAAATATATTTTGGAATTAAGCGGGGATTAAAGATCACGACGTTCAAAGTATTTAAGCGATTGGCCCGATTTGACTTTAATATTGTTAAGATTTGCCAACTTATTTTGTTTAGGACGTACCAGCCTGATGTAGATTGATATAAAATGTTAAATTTAATATTTCGTTTTGGCTACTGAACAAAAATATTAATATATATAGTGTAAACCGAGATAAGTTATAAACGATTTATTCCCTTAGCGGATAGAAACAATGGGCATAGCACATTTTTACTTAATTCAAGGTTGAAACATGACTTAACTTTTTAAGATAATCGTTCGAAATGTATAATTAAACCATTATGCAAAAAGAACACGCAAAAAAAAAAACTTGTGCGTCAGTCAGCTTAGCGGGAATAGTTGAAAATGTTAGTACCTGCAGACGAACAGCAAGTCTTCCATTCTTTTCGTTTATTATGTACCGATTATAAAGTAACCGTCTTTCCCTCACCCCTTTCCCGACTTTTAATAAAACTGTTGTCAGTAAAAAGATAAACAGAAATTTAAAACTGTTTTCGTTCTTTATCAACCTTACCAATGTACTTTTTTCCCATGTCTTAAAGAAAAACAACTCTTTTTGCATAATATAATGACTTTTATGTAATTTAAACTCCTTTTCGCTATTATTCATTTTATTGGGAAAAAGATATCGTTGCTGGCTATAGGTTTGGTAATTTAGAATTTAATATGTATGATATATACGGATGTCTCGAGTTTGTTTTTCTTGATCAAAATTAGCCTGGTCCTTGTGTATTGATGAAGATATATGACCGTCCAATTTAAGCTCGTAACTTATTGACAATAGCTTTATTAGTGCTATTTTATATCATTCTATTGAAGGTCTATCGGCTTATTTACATACAGTATTAAAGGCAGAATTAAAGGTAGCAAAGCGGGATTACGATCTACACTTGAACACCGGCAATAAAACACTTTAAGAAACTGGGTGAAATAAGACATTTAGAGTGCGAATATATCAAATGTATATCATAGCGTATCAAGTCTGTTTAAAACATTCAAGAGCAAGGAAAACAGTGCCGTCGTTATCAATACAAGATATGAGAAAGTCTTAAAGGCGTGTGCATATTGAAATAAAAAAATCTACAAAGTTGATATTGAATAAAAAGAGAACATTGTTTTATACATTTTTGTATCATAAGTAAATATCGAATCATGTGTATAGTAATTCTAAATAAATTGGCAATCTTTGCAAACAGTTCCTATGAAATACTTTGACCGTGCCGAAACCGGAAGTGCATGTTGTCAATTTGTTAACTTACTGTATCGATTTCTTAACAAAATATTGACACCGTTGAAGACTCGAGAGTACAAAAACAAAACATTTTTTCTGGCAAATAGTATTCATATAAGCAAATTCAATCTGAATAAGCGCATTTCAGGCATATTGATATAGTATATAATTAAAACTTTCGGTTTTTAAGATGTAGTTTGTTAATTAAACAACAAGTTCTGCCGCAATACCCCTTTAAATACATGAATACATAAGGTATCACACATGTTGTACAGATATATTAAGAAATAAGAGAAAACACTAAATCAAATCTAAAATGTACGATTTACGAGGATATATATTAACCTTTGAAGCATCATATTTCATAATTCTGCAAGTATACAAGCAGTCAAAAGAGGGGCATCAAATTACCAATGGTTAATTAAACAGGATAGCGATTAATTTAAAATATCCTTTTCATAATCTATCTAATCTTTTGAAAAAATATGAAAAGAGTCTTTCGTATGGAATGCATCATAGGTTCGGTATCGCATTTTATAAACATCTCTTTAATATACGCCTCAATAAGATCTGTGTATGTTTGTATATGTTTATTTACATGCGCTCAAAACGCCATATATCTTCTTTATATTCGAATTTCAATTGACTTTGTTAAGATGTAAACATTTTTCTGTCAGTAAGGTAAAACGTTGACAATAAACATGTTTTTTACAGAGTAAATGTCCTAAAGTTCATTGGATTCCCATGAATCTTTTTTAACTTGAATCATGTTTATATTTCTACATCAAAAACAGTAAATTGTTTATTCAGGTGTCAACATATTAATTATCTGCAAACTTGTTGCATTTATCATAACAATAATTATTTAAGTATTGTGTACGGTAGCAAGAAACAAGGTGCTGTCAAAATTGCCTCAGTATTCTAAATATTTGCACTCACAACTTAAAAATTTGTTTAAGGTTGCTCAATACAATATAATCCTATTACAAAATACAATCTTTTACAATAAATTAAATGGAATACAATACATTACATATACAATACAAAATACAATAAAGAATACAGTAAAACTTAATCTTATGCAAGATAATACAATATAAAACAAATGCAATACAAAATACAATATAAGATATTACACAATACAAAACAAATTGCAAGATACAATTCAAAATTCAATGCAATAAAATAAAATGCAATAAAATACATGGCATTGTTATACTTGGTAAATTTGGTATATGAAAAAAAGCTATTGACCGACATTTAAATTAAACATAACGTATCAATAAAAGTACGTGTTGAGTAAATTAAGTGGTCTGATCAACACAAAATTATAAATCAATCACAAAAAAAGTCAAATTTAAAAACTACTGAAAAATAAAGGGTTGTATCAAATGATCATTTAAAGTGGTTCATTAACCTTTTGATTACTATTAAAAGTATTAATTCTAGTCACCTTTTTATCATTCAATGACCCAAAACATAGTATCTATTTTTCTTCATTTTTTGAATACTTTAATACCTTTATATATAAGTGTCCAGTGACATTTTGAGTCATTATCAAGTTTTCTATTACATTATAGAACAGTATTATGACCTTGGCGGCAGTGTTCAATAACCTGATACCATGTATTTCAATTACCGTATATCATATACAGTCAGTAACCTTATATTTCTGTGTTTGGTTATCTTATACTTATTTATCATTCTCATTTCAAAAGTTATAGGGATCGTACTTGTAACATTTATTTCAAATTTACTGAATCATAGTACTTCCGGCGACAGAATACTGCCCGTAGCGATACCAGTTTTTCTTCAACATTTATTGAATTATGGTACTTTCGGTGATATAAGTGTTGTGAATTTAAGTGCCCGTAGCATACAGGTAGTCTGGGCTTAATGAGGGTCTATCTGCCCTTTCAGATACTGGGAGTACGGATCCCAAATTTTCTTCAACATTTACTATATGGTACTTCCAGTGAGAGAGGTGTTGTGAATTCTTTCAGCTCATAGTGATCTTACATTCAATTCATAATTTGCCTCCAAAATCTTTAGAATCGTAGTCTTTCCGGAGAGATAATGGGTATGAATTCGTACAGCTCATAGCGATCTTAAATGTGTCTTCCAAATTTATTTGATCGGTATTTCGGGTGACAAAACTGTTGTAAATGAACTGTAATATACTTTTACTAAGGCAAAATGAGCAAAAGTGAGGAGCTTTTTCCTTATATAGATCTACAACATCTTTTTCTTATTTAAAAGGTGTTTTGTTAATACCCAAATGCGTATTTATGATTCATTCAATAGTGCTTATTCGTTTCTGAGGCATATTGTGTCTTTAAGCTATACATGTACTAGCCTTTTAAAGCACAGATTTTTAATTAACTATGTATTACAAAGAAATATGTAAGTAAGTAAGTAAGTAAGTAAGTAAGTAAGTAAGTAACGACTTTATTTAACGAGGCTTACACATTCAGTTTCCCGATCTTCCATGTGGGCCTCAGAATATGTTGTCTATGTTCTCAAGCAGACAAAGAAAGTGCACAGTGCAAACAGCATTTTCAGTCCACATATATATTACCAGATGAAAGTAAAAATATACAAAGAATAACCCTTGCTGCGTTAGTCACGCAGTAGAAATATGGGGATAAATACTGCAAAAGCAGTCATTCATTGGATAAAACATGAATAATCATTACTTAAATTGTGAATATTGTTTACTTTTCTTAACATCTTAGTACATTTATCTCAAAAGTGATTTTCTTGGAATTTTTTGGCGTATATAGAGGCATTCACCTATAAATGGTGAAATTGGTCAAGCCTTAGAAATAAGACAGTATAGATACAATGCATTTAGGTTTAAATGCGCTAAACTCCTAGTATACTTAAAAGTAAAAGTTTATTCTTTGCAAGTGCTACTTTGAGTAGAAGTGTTATGAAATGTCAAGTATAACAGACGCTCCTTAATCGGTAAATGTTAAAATAACACTTCTTCTCAAAGGTCCATTTTTTTCTACAATAAAAACCCATTTAATTTGTTTGGTTTGGACATACTTTAATTTCTCTGATCAAACAGACATAAGATTTATTCCAATTTAAAGTATGGCCTTAAATAACCAGATATATAGATTTACCGACATAACAAATATTTTGATTAGCTGTCCAAACATCTAACGAAACTATTTATAGATTAATATTACTATAGTGAACGCTTT